CCTCAATGCCCTTTTTAGAGACCACAGAGGTTTCATTCTCTCAGTATCCTCTGTTTAGAGACTCCTTTCTTTTCAAAGTCTAGTTTAAGGCTTGGATGAGTACTTCTTACACATTAGTGGTCATCAGAATTACTTGGGGCAGGGTTTTTTAACCTCTTTGCTATTGACATGTTGGGCTGGATAATTCTTCATTGTGGGAGGCTATCTTGTGTATTGGATGATGTTTGGCAACATCTCTGGTCTCTACCTAGTGGATGCCAGTAGTACCTCCTCTCCCAGTTGTGACAATCAAAAATGTCTCCAGACATTGACATATGTCTCCTGGGAGGCAAAATTGCACCAGTTGAGAACCACTTATCTGGGGTGATTGTTAAAAATGTAGACCCAAGCTAGGCACTGTGGCTCATGTCTGTAATCGCAGCACTTTGGGAGGTGGAGTGGGCCAGATCACTTTGAGCTCAGGAATTTTGAGCTCAACATGGTGAAATCCCGTTTCTACAAAAAAATATCAAAATTAGCTAGGTGTGGTGGCGCATTCCCATAGTCCCAACTACTCAGGAGACTGAGGTCAGAGGATCACTTGAGCTTGGCATGTGGAGGCTGCAGTGAACTGATATCATGTCACTGCACTCCAGCCTGGGTGACAGAGTAAGATCTTGTCTATCAAAAAAAAAAGTTTGGTTCAATAGAAGGGTAGGAAGGCTTAAGAATTTACATATTTAGGCCAGGTACGGTGGCTCATGCCTGTAATCCCAGCATTGTGGGAGGCCAAGGCGGGCAGATGGCCTGAACTCATGAGTTTAAGACCAGCCTGGAGAACATGTCTCTACTAAAAAAAATACAAAAAATTAGCTAGGTGTGGCAGCGTGCTCCTGTAGTCCCAACTACTTGGGAGACTGAGGCAAGAGAATTGCTTGAATCCAGGAGGTGGAGGTTGCAGTGAGCCAAGATCACGCCACTGCACTCCAGCCTGGGCGACAGGGATTCTGTCTCAAAAGACAAACAAACAAAAAGATAATTTACATATTTAGGAGGCACCCCAGGAGATTCTGAAATAGGTGATCAGGGCTGTCAGTATTACAACATACTCTTGGCCAGGCGTGGTGGCTCACATCTGTAATCCCATCACTTTGGGAGGCTGAGGCAGGTAGATCACCTGAGGTCAGGAATTCGAGACCAGCCTGGCCAACATGGTGAAACCCCATCTCTGAAAAAAAAACAAAAAAAAACCCCTCTCTCTTAAGCTGAGGATTGTAAAGTTTTACTTGACTTGTTTTCTGTTTCATTTTTCTGTCCTGTTTTATAATATCTTTTCATTCATTATCAGGTTTTGATGGAGAATTATCCTCAGAGCACTGACTATACTCAATTAAAGTAGGAAAAAAAAATTAAAAATCCTCAAAGATAGTGGGAGAGTTTTAAAAAAAAAGTTATCAATTGAATCCTGTAGTGGTTATTAGGGTGTTTTATTATTTTTAAAAAAATTACCGGGGTAAGGAGGGCAGCAGAAAAAAAAAAAATTACCTACTGGGCACAGTGGCTCATGCCTGTAATCCCAGCACTTTGGGAGGCCAAGGTGGGTGGATCACCTGAGGTTGGGAGTTTGAGACCAGCCTACCAACATGGAGAAACCCCGTCTCTACTAAAAATACAAAATTAGCTAGGCGTGGTGGCACATACCTATAATCTCAGCTACTTGGGTGACTGAGGCAGGAGAATTGCTTGAACCTGGTGAGCAGAGGTTGCAGTGAGCCGGGATTGTACCATTGCACTCCAGCCTGGGCAACAAGAGTGAAACTGTCTCAAAAAAAAAAAAAAAATTGTATTGGATACATCTATCAACTTGACTAGACTCTCAGATTCTTCTCCAGTTTTTTTCCTCCCAAGTTTTCTGCCATTCCTATGAATTTGTCTATTTCTCTCTGCTTCACTCTACTATTACCTACGTTTACAGACAGATGTATACATCAATTATCTTTTACTTTCTACCATGGCACCTTCACCCTTGGACAGACTATAGTGATGACTACTCAAGATACCTGGACATTCCACAGTTTGCTCATTAAAGCCAATGAGTATATACTCCCCCTTCCTCACCTGGAACCTCTCTACAGTTTCTCTGTAGGTCCTCAGCTTTGTTTATGTATAGATGACTAAACTCTTGCTCCTTCCTCTGCCTTTTGCGATACAGTATAGCATAGTGGAGAAGAACAGGAACTCTAATATCAGGCTACCTGGGTTTGAGTCCCTACACTTACTTATCTGGACACGTTTTCTTTCTTTTCTTTTCTTACCTATTTAGGAGGTGCCCCAGGAGATTCTGAAATAGGTAATCACAGTTCTCCCTCTCTCTCTTTCCCTGCCTGCCTGCCTCCCTCTCTCCCTCCCTCTCTCCTTCTCTCCGTCTCTCCTTCTCTCTTTTTTTCTATTTATTTTTTTTCTTTTTTCTTTTTCTTTTTGCTTTTTTTGACCCCAAGACCTCTAATCATTCTCTTTATCGGATAAAACTGTGTGCGAGTCATACAATCTTTCTCTTTCTCTTCTTTCTTTTCTAGTTTGTGCTTTAGTTTTCTCATTGTAAACTTTCTGGATCATAGGGTTGTTATGAGGATAAATCAATTAATGTATATAAAGTGCTTAGAACAGTGCCTGGTACATATATAAGAGCTAAACAGACTCTGGTTGTTATTTTATTTTCTTTTGAGATTGAGTCTTGCACTGTCACCCAGGGTGGAGCGCAGTGGTGCGATCTCGGGTCACTGCACCTGCTGCCTCCTGGGTTCAAGCGATTCTCCTGCCTCAGCCTCCTGAGTAGCTGAGATTATAGGCATGCACCACTATGCCCAGCTAATTTAGTATTTTTAGTAGAGACGGGGTTTTACCATGTTGGCCAGGCTGGTCTTGAGCTCCTAACCTCAGGTGATCTACCTGCATCAGCCTCCCAAAGTACTGGGATTACAGGTGTGAGCCATTGCACCTGGCCTGGTTGTTATTTTAGATAGGTGTCCTGAGTTTTCAAGCCTGGAGGCCCTACTCACCTGTGTTCTAGTGTTCTGCATTTGTTCTGTTAAATTTTCACATATATGAACACACATGTACTTTTTTTTTAAATACGAAGTCTCCCTCTGTCACCAGGCTGCAGTGTAGTGGTGCAATAAAGGCTCACTGCAACTTCCAGCTCCCTGGATCAGACAGTTCTCCTGCTTCAGCCTCTGGAGTAGCTTGGATTACAGGCATGTGCCACCACACCCGGCTAAGTTTTACTTTTTTGTTGAGATGGGGTTTTACCATGTTGGCCAGGCTGGTCTCAATCTCCTGACCTTGTGATTCACCTGCTTTGGCCTCCCAAAGTGTTGGGATTATAGGCATCAGCCATTGTGCCTGGCCCTACTTTTTTTTTTTTAGATAAAGGTATGTTTTACATTATGTGAAGTCTACAACTTAGTGATTTTTTAACATGTGTACTCATTTGTATAACCTCCACTTAGATAGAGATTGAGTGTATTTCTGGCACCTCAGAAGGCTTCCTTGTGCTCCTTCCCAATCATCTCCACACCTCTACACTGTCATCATAAATTACTTTTGTCTTTTAATAACTTCATATAAATAGAATCATCAGGTCGTAGTCTTTTGTTTTGGACACTTTTCATTCAATATTTTCTGTGTAACGTATCCACATTGCTTCATGTATATCAGTAATGGGCTTTTGTAAATTTCTATATTGTTGTCTATTGTGTGACTGTACCATAATTATTCCATTTACTGTTGATGGATATTTGGATTCTCCTTATATATTAAAATTCACAAACACAAAAGACTCACTTTAATAAACTTTAAAAACATTTCAGAAAAGGAATGTTTATGCTGTCTAGGCACAGCGGCATTTCTGTTTCCTGAACACGCCAAGTGCGTTCAGATCTTGAGGACTTTGCACTTGCCATTCCCTATATCTCAAACACTTTCCCAAGATTTTTACTTGGTTGGTTTCTTCCTGTTTTTCCAGATCTTAGACCCACGACCAGTTCCTCAAAGAGGCCTACTTTAATCTCCCAGCTGAGAGTAGTCCCCTTAGGCAATTTGTCTTCAGGGAACTTATAACTGTCTCAGTTTATCTTATTTGTCCTCTGTTTTCCTTCTACTGGAATGGGAATTCTGTGAGACTAGGGATCTTTTCTGTCTTGTTTACTGCTGTGTTCCTAGTGCCTGTGCTGAAAGAAAAGGTACTCTGTAAATACTTGTTGAATGAATGAATGCCTGATCTTTACATATGAGTTTCCCCCCCCCAAATTATGGACACATTTACTTTTGTTTCTCTCTGGTTTTTTTTTTTTTTTCCCTTTTCCATCTCTTCCATATTCTGAAATCTCTCTTTTTTTTTTTTGAGACTGAGTTTTACTTTGTTGCCCAGGCTGGAGTGCAGTGGCAGGATCCCAGCTCACTGCAACCTCTGCCTCCTGGGTTCAAGTGATTCTCCTGCCTCACCCTCCCGACTATCTGGAATTACAGGTGCTTGCCACCATGCCTGGCTAATTTTTTATGTTTTTAAAACAGACGGGGTTTCACCATGTTAGCCAGGATGGTCTCGATCTCCTGACTTCATGATCTGCCTGCCTTGGCCTCCCAAAGTGCTGGGATTGCAGGCGTGAGCCACCGTGCCCAGCCTTTTTTTTTTTTTCCTTTGAGACAGGGTCTGACTCTGTTGCCCAGGCTGGATGCAGTGATATGATCTCAGCTCACTGCAACCTTTGCCTCAAGATGTCCTCCTGCTTCAGTGTCCTGAGTATCTGGGATTACAGGTGCCAACCATCATGCCTGGCTAATTTTTGTTTGGTAGAGACAGGTTTTCGCCATATTGGTCAGGCTGGTCTCGAACTTCTGACTTTGTGATCTGTATTTGTTCTGTTAAATTTTCACATATATGAGAACACAAATGTACTTTTTTTTTTTAATACGAAGTCTCCCTCTGTCGCCAGGCTGCAGTGCAGTGGTGCTGGTTCTCTCCACGGGAAGGTGGGGGGATGGTTTGAAATAGGATAAAAGTGCTTGAGAATGTACAGATTACACTCATATTACTGATGTGCTGCAATCTTCTGCTCTACCAATCAGATATTTTACTTTCAAAATTAGGAGCATAGGCTTAATTTCTGAGACCCAAAGAAAAACTTTTGTTAGAAGAGTTCTATAGTTCTCCCAGTCTAACACCTTAGAAACCCTTGTGTGCTGTGTTCCCTGGGTAGGAGTGCTGGTAGTGGGAGGAGCCTTTATGTTGTCAGTTTCCAGTCACATTTCAGGCAGCTTGGGTGGTAAATTCCAGTTGCCTGTGATGATGACAGAGAGTAATGAGTTGAGGCCTTGTCTGATTTTCCCCCTGCTCCTGATGGAAGGAGAGTGATAAAAATAATTTAATTTCTTAGGAAATTTGGTAGTTTGGATTGGAATTGTTTTTCCCTCCTCTCTTGTTCCCTTTGCTTATTAGAAAGTATTGATTTTGAAATAGAGAAAGTGAGTTTATTAGATTTGGGGTGGACATTGATTAGCTGTAACCCAATTATAAATCCTCAGAAGGGGATGTTAGTAAACAAATGCTTTTCACATCCAAGAACTTGTGGTTCCCACTCTTCCTGCTAATCAACTGGTTGAAGCTGAGCACAGGCAAGATCTATATCCACTAAGTTTAGAATTGCATTGCTTTTGATTTATTCTAATAGGGTCCTCTTGATTTCCAATTTATTTTTTCCAGGTAAGGACATCTTCCTCTTGACAACCTATTTAAAAGACCCAAGAATGTTTTGAACGGAGGCTGTATATCATGCTTAAGGAAAAGCCATGATCAATATAATGTAAATTGCCCCAAAGAGTCTTCTCTTTTTGTTATTGTTGTTATTTTTTCTGTCAGTTCTCTGGGGATCATAGCAATTTGAGGGCTAAGTTAAGCCTCGATAGAGACAGGTCTTAGTAAAATTTTAGGTCAGACTGGGGACTTTTCAGGATTTCCCCTCCATCTTTGTCAGAATCAGTCAGTTAACAGCATAAACTGAACATTTACCGGGAACTAGGTTCTTATATAAAAAGCATAAGATGTAGTCCCTGTGCTGAAGATGCTTAATATCTGAGTTGGTATCACTTCTAATATGAGATTATAAAAAAGTCTAAAAATAGACTGGGCCTGGTGGCTCATGCCGGTAATCCCAGCACTTCGGGGGGCCAAGGCGGGTGGATCACGAGGTCAGGAGTTTGAGACCAGCCTGGCCAACATAGTGAAACCCCATCTGTACTAAAAATACAAAAATGAGCCGGGCATGTTGGTGCATGCCTGTAGTCCTAGTTACTTGGGAGGTTGAGGCAGGAGAATCACTTGAACCCGGGAGGTGGAGGTTTTGGTGAGCTGAGATTGCGCCACTGCACTTCAGCCCGAGCAGCAGAGTGAGACTTTGTCTCAAAAAAAAAAAAAAATTCTAAAAATAAAATAAAAATATCTAGTTGGAGACATTTTCTATGCTTTAGTGTATGCTCAAGGATGAATCTCCTTTTTTGGTTATATGTGCCAGGGAAGGACAACATCTGAGATACAATCTTTTATACTAAGATACATCTCTTCCTTAAAAAAATTTTGATTTTGGTTGGAAAGATAGTGCATATTTTCCAAAAGTCATTGATCAAAATTAGTTCTGCTGTTTCAGGTTTGTCTGAAAGTAAAATCCAGCTCCTCCCTAGCCCCCATACTTGTCAATGGGTGAGATTAAGTTTCATATCTAGAGCATAGAATTTAAAGGAAAGAGAGGAACTTTGTTAATAATGAAAAGAATTTGGGAGATGAAGGGGATATGTGTAAATCCACAGTGAAGACCTATGGGATTTCAGGTTCTTACTTAAAAAAAAAAAAAAAATCGAGACTTTCTTGAAGCAAGATGGGAAAATTTGGGCATGATTCATGGAACTACTTTTATATAGAATTGAAAATACATTAGAGTTTGATCTGTAATAGTGTTTATATATATATATATACACACACACACACAATTAAATTTGAAAGTAGTAGATTGCTGTATTCAGTTATTTTGAAATCAGATTCTTTTTTTTTTTTGTCTCTTAACTGCTGTTTTCTGCCTTGGGTCTCTTTCCACAGGAATTTCTAAAGACAGTCAAGTGCAGTGTGATTTATGAGGCAGTGAAGGCCAAGTACTTTGTAGTGACGAGGACCTGCTTACTTTGGGAAAATCAATGAAGCATGTCAGTCTGCAGCACACTTCCTGCCTTAATGGTCCTAAGCTTGATCAATATTTGAAATTTAAGTTCACCATCAGTCTGTAATCAGTGTGTGCTTTGCAGCCTTCCTTCCATCATCCTCAGATATGTGGCCAGACCTATTACAGATGGAGCTAGTTACAGTTTTGTGTTTGGTTTTGGATCTGCTTTAAGCCTTATCTACTGGCACGTTTTAAGGATGTAAAATATGTTGTGCTGTTGGCCAAGTAATGATTTAAACCTTGACATTACCTAGTCAGGGAGGGGAGTGTTGGACAGATGCACAAGCTGTGTAGCGTGGTTGTTTATCAGTTCTTCTTCCTAAACATTCTCTCATTAAGTGGTATAGCAGTGACTCCAGCAACTTGGAGAACATTCTGGCACTGACTGGCTTTCCTTTCTTTTCTAAGACTTAATTTTTTTAGAGCTGTTTTTAGGTTCAGCAAAATTGAAAGGAGAGGGCAGAGATATCCCATATGTCCACTTCCTTCACACATGCACAGCCCCCTCTAATAACAACATCCCCCACCAGAGTGGCATTTGTCATAAATGACGAACTTACAACTTACATTCATATATTGTTATCACCCAAAGTCCACAGTTTACATTAGGGTTCACTTTTGGTGTTGTATATTCTATGGGCTTGGACAAACATATGACATGTATCTGCCATTATAGTATCATACTAAGTATTTTTACTGTCCTAAAATGTGACTTTCTGTTCACAGATTCTCTAACCATGGCACAGGTAGAGAAACGTGGGGGTTTGCTTCGGAAATCTTCAGCTTCCAAGAAACCACTGAAGGAAAAAGTGGTGCTGATGTATGATGAGATCTTCATGGTAAGGCCTGCGGGCTTGTTGTTGTGTACAGCTTGACTCGTTAGTTTCTTAGTCCAAGATGAGAAATACCCTTACTTCTGCCTGCCACCTTCAGGTTCCTCGGGGGGTATGGGAGGAGGGAGAGAAAGAGGGTTTGAGGGCAAAAGTGAAAACTTTCATAGTAGAGATTATAATTATGTATTAATTAGTATAGGTTGTTATTATGTTGTCCATATAGGTTGTTGTCATGAGCTAGGTAAAACAATTGAAAGGAGGGAGGAAGGCTGGGGAAGCTCCTTTTCTGTATATTTTAAAGAAAGACAACCAGGTGTGGTGGCTCAGGCCTGTAAATCCCAGCCCTTTGGGAGGCTGAGGCTGGTGGATCATGAGGTCAGGAGTTCGAGACCAGCCTGGCCAATATGGTGAAACCCCATCTCTACTAAAAATACAAAAATTAGCCAAGCGTGGTGGCAGGCACCTGTAATCCCAGGTACTCAGGAGGCTGAGGCAGAAGAATCGCTTGAACCTGGAAGGTGGAGGTTGTAGTGAACTGAGATGGCGCCACTGCACTCCAGCCTGGGCAACAGAGTGAGACTCCATCTTAAAAAAAGAAAGATTTGCTCTCCTTATGATCTACTAACTTAGGACTCTTATTCTAGATGTCCCATGAAGTTTCTTTTGGACCTAGAATTCCATAATTCAGATACTTTTAAAGGGTACATTATTATATTCCATCTCAATTTGTTGGTAAATGAAATAATTACTTAGTAATTCATTCTATTTCATTCTCCAACTATGTGGGATAACTGAGAAATTATTGGCAATTGGGTTGGAGATTTCTTTGGGTCTTCAGAACTGATTGAACATGGTCCAAGCCTCTGTTGTAAAATATACCCTTATCAGGGGCCAGGCCCGGTGGCTCATGCCTGTAATCCCAGGACTTTGGTAGGCTGAGGCTAGTGGATCACGAGGTCAGGAGTTCAAGACCAGCCTGACCAACATGGTGAAAACCATCTCTACTAAAAATACAAAAATTAGCCAGGTGTGGTGGCATGTACCTGTAATCCCAGCTACTTCGGAGGCTGAGGCAGGAGAATCGCTTGAACCCAGGAGGTGGAGGTTGCAGTGAGCTAAGATCACGCCATTGCACTCCAGCCGGGGCAGAGTGAGACTCCGTCTTAAAAAAAAAAAAAAAAAACCTGTCAGGGAAGATTAGTTAGATATGCTGCAGGGGTACCTGCCTTCTAAAATTCTGATCATAAGTAGTACACATAAATTAGAATAATACTTATAAAAAGAATTACTAGACAGACATGGTGGCTCATGTCTGTAATCATAGTACTTTGGGAGGCTGCGGGGGTGGCTCTCTTGAGCCCAGGAGTTCAAGACCAGCCTGGGAAACATGGCAACACCTTCTCTCTACAAAAAAATACAAAAATTATCTAGCTGTGGTGGCATGCACCTGTAGTCCCAGGTACTTGGAGGCTGAGGTAGGAGGACTGCTTAAGCCTAGGAGGTCAAGGCTGCAGTGAGCCCTGATCACACCACTGTATTCTAGCCTGGGTGAGAGAGTGAGACCTTGTCTTTAAAAAAAGAAAAAAAAAAATGACCATGTGTCGGGTTTCTACTATGTGGCTAGTGCATTATAAATGTATCACTAAATATAGAGGAATTCTAATTCTGACAGGAATTCTGTGAGGGCACTGGTAATATCCTCATTTAACAGATGAGGTAATTTGAGATCTCTGCTGGAAGGTGATGGAGCTGTGATTTGAACCCTGGTGACTGACTCCAAACCCATGGCTCAGAATAAATAATGCAGTCAACTAAAATACCTAACTTTGGCAAGCCTTATAAACAGAGTTTGACATGCAGAAGGTTAATACAGACTGCCCAAGTCCGTATGAGCAGCTATACAAAGAATATAAGTAGGTGCTAGGATCCTATTAGGATTCTTTCTTTGTTATGCAAGCTTGGTGTACATACAACTCCTGCTTGAGTGAGCTCTGCGGATGGGAAGTGCCAGTTCCATGAGTTCCCTGAGTTTCATTTGTAGACAAAAAGCGATATTACAGAAGTGTGAGGGTCAAACTGTGACCCCTGCTAGGAAGCAGGACTTGAGAGAAAGTGATAGAATCTACTAAATGGCTGGGCGTGGTACCTCACACCAGTAATTGTAATCTCAGCTACCTAGGAGGTTGAGGTGTGTGGATTGCCTGAGGCCAGGAGTTTGAGACCGGCTTTGGCAACATAGGGAGACTCCATCTCTAACAACAAAATTAGGTGGGTGTGGTGGTAGGCACCTGAAGTCCCAACTAGTTCCAGCTATTCCTAGCTACTATAGGAGGGTGAGGTGGGAGGATCCCTTGAGCCCAGGAGTTTGAGGCAGCTGTGAGCTGTAATTGCACCATTGCACCCATCCTGGGTGACAGTGAGAACCTGTCTCTAAAATAAGTAAATAAATAAAATAAATAAATAAATAAAAGGAATTCACTAAATGAGAATGCTGTGAGAAGGCCAGAAATGTTGCTTCTTTATGCCTTTCTTAATTAAAAATCCAGAAGAGGCCAAGTGTGGTGGCTCATGCCTGTAATACCAGAAGTTTTTGAGGCCAAGGCAGGCAGATCACGTGAGGTCAGGTGTTTGAGACCAGCCTGGCCAACATGGTGAAACCCTATCTCTACTTTTTAAAAATGCAAAAATTAGCCGGGTGTGGTGATATGTGCCTATAATCCCAGCTATTGGGGAGGCTGAGGAAGGAGAATCACTTGAACCCAAGAGGCAGAGGTTGCAGTGAGCTGAGATCACGCCATTGCACTCCAGCTGGGTAACAGAGCAAGACTCAAAAAAAAAAAAAAAAGGAAAACAAAATCCAGAAGAGATTATTAGTATTTTATTATTAGATCAGGACTTAACTGCTGATGACATTAGTTCCTGGTAGTAATTTTATGCTGTTTATTTTAATTAATTAATCAATTATTTATTTTGAGATGGAGTCTTACTCTGTCACCCAGGCTCGAGTGCAGTGGCACAATCTTGGCTCACTGCGACCTCCACCTCCTGGGTTCAAGCCGTTCTTCTGCCTCAGCCTCCTAAGTACCTGGGATTACAGGCACATGCCACCATGCCTAGCTAATTTTTATTTTATTTTTATTTAACTCTGTCGCCCAGGCTGGAGTACAGTGGTGCCATCTCGGCTCACTGCAACCTCTACCTCCTGGGTTCAAGCAATTCTCTTGCCTTAGCCTCCTGAGTAGCTGGGACTATAGGCACCCGCCACCACATATGGCTAATTTGTTGTGTTTTTAGTAGAGATTGGATTTCACAGTATTAGCCAGGATGGTCTCGATCTCCTGACCTCGTGATCCGCCTGCGTCGGCTACCCAAGTGCTGGGATTATAGGCAAGAGCCACCGCACCTGGCCATTTTTGTATTTTTAGTAGAGATGAGGTTTCACCATGTTGGCCAGGCTGGTCTTGAATTCCTGACCTCAGGTGATCCACCTGCCTTAGTCCTACAAAGTGTTGACATTACAGGCGTGAGCCACTGTGCTCAGCCTATTTACTCATTTTTATTTATTTATTTTTTGAGACAGAGTTTCACTCTGTCATCCAGGCTGGAGTGCAGTGGTGCAATCTCAGCTCACTGCAACCTCTGCCTCCTGGGTTCAAGCAATTCTCCTGCCTTGCCTCCTGAGTAGCTGGGACTACAGGCCCACATCACCATGCCTTGCTAATTTTTGTATGTTTAGTAGAGATGGGGTTTTGCCATCTTGGCCAGGCTGGTCTTGAACTCCTGGCCACAAGTTATTGACCCACATTGTCCTTCCAAAGTGCTGGGATTACAGGGGTGAACCACCGTACCTGGCTGTCTCCTGGTAGTAGTTTTAAAAGGTCAACTTAAAATAAGGTGGTAGTGGGCTATTGAACTGCTTATTTCATGTCATTCTCTTTTCTTTAAAGTAGGCATTCTCTTTTTCTTATGTTACTCATTAACCAGCAGCCTTTGATTTCCTAGAATTTGTTGGAAAATTATTGCTAGGAAATTTTGGGTTTTAGCATGATAATTTTGCTAACCCTTTGGATCAATTAAAATTAAGAAATTTAGAGCATATTAAAAGCTTTGTACAGAAGACTGAATGCATATGGAGGGCAAGTAAAAGCAGTCAACACAGCATGCTGTAAAAACCATTGCAGTATTACTGAGGTGATCTGATTTCTGGCTCCTGCACTTGTGTAAGTCACTTATGTTTGTGTACCCTCTTTCCTAAAATGGGAGGAGGGTGATAATATCTACCCTTCCTGGCTCACTGGATTGTGTTTCATATATGTAAATAGGGTTGAAAACAACACTGTACCAATTCACGGGAGACACATCATTATGTGACTAACTTATTCAGATGTTTAGGTTCATTTCTTGCTAGAAGAGAAATATTTTAGGGAATTTCTTAACTTTTGGTGCAGAGAATATATATCCATGCACACAGTTTTCCACTTGGAAAAAAAGCACAAAGAGATACTGTTTTCTTCCCCTGTATAGAAGTTTAGAATGACCAATAATTTTTTTTTTCTTTTCTTGAGGCAGAGTCTTGCTCTGATGCCCAAGAGTGCAGTGGCGTGATCTTGGCTCACTGCAATCTCTGCTTCCCAGGTTCAAGCAATTCTCCTGCCTCAGCCTCCCAAGTAGCTGGGATTACAGGTGCGTGCCACCATGCCCAGCTAACTTTTGTATTTTTAGTTGAGAAGGGTTTTCACCATGTTGGCCAGGCTGGTCTTGAACTCCTGACCTTAGATGATTCACTCACCTTGGCCTCTCAAAGTGTTAGGAGTACAGGCATAAGCCACTGTGCTCGGCCGACCAAGAATTTTCAAAGTTAATTTTGAAAACTAAGGTTGACTATATATAGCATTCTTAATGCTTCTGGTGTTAGCTGGGAAAGCTGAATGTGCTTATCTTCTGGTTTCAGACAGAGGACCCCAGTAAGTGCAGTCCTCGCTTTTGGGAGGAGCTCTTTCTCATGAAGGTAAGACTTGGTGGCATCTGTGGAATTTCCTGGTGACTATTGCCTTCTCATGTGTTCTGGGTACTACGCTAAAAATGCACTCTGCCCTTATTTGTTTCCTTGGCAGGTGAATTTAGAAAAATGCACTCTACCCCTTCTTTGTTTACTTGGCAGGTGAATTTAGAGTACCTAGAAGGCAAGCTGGAATCTCTTGATGGTGAGGAGTTAATGAAGATCAAGGACAATATTAATTGCCTATTCCAACACTGCATCCAGGCTCTGGGAGAGGATCATCCAATTCGAGTTGTCAATGCATTGCAGGTACAAGGCTGGGAGATTGGGGAAGTCTTGTTTAATAGGAGAAAGGAATTGTAACACCTCTGTTGGAGCGGAGGAACCTAGAATTGCTCTGAGGTATGAAGTTTTCTTTTTTATTTGTTTAAGTTACCAAATATTTATGCTATGTTTGTTTAGCCATCTATTTATACAAATTGACACTTAGAAGTAATCTTATCCATTTGTATAATGTATGATCTAATGCCAAAGTAGATTGTTAGAATTCTTGTTTTTACTTGAGAAAGGGAAGAAGTAGAGAGGAAACTGAAGCAAGAATGATTAGTCTTTATCAAAAGTCAGAAGACTGCTGGCCACAGTGGCTCATGCCTATAATCCCAGCACTTTGGGAGGCTGAGGCAGGCAGATAACCTGAGGGTCAGGAGTTTGAGACCAGCCTGGCCTGCATGGTGAAACCCTGTCTCTACTAAAAATACAAAAATTAGCCAGGTGTGGTGGTGGATGCCTGTAATCCCAGCTGCTCAGGAGGCTGAGGCAGGAGAATGAATTGAACCCAGGAGGTGGAGGTTGCAGTGAGCTGAGATGGTGCCACTGCACCCCAGCCCAGCTTGGGTGACAGAATGAGACTTCGTCTCCAAAAAAAAAAAACCAAAAAACAGATTTTGAAAGGGATCTTGGATTTGTAACTCAAAAAACATTAAGAAACTGTCCTTTATGTTAAGTGGCATGATTATAAAATTCATTCAACAACTATTTCTTTTTTATTTTTGAGACGGAGTTTCTCTCTTGTAACCCAGGCTGGAGTGCAATGGCCCGATCTCGGCTCACTGCAGCCTCCGCCTCCTGGGTTCAGGCAATTCTCCTGCCTCAGCCTCCTGAGTAGCTGGGATTATGGGCACGCGCCACCACACCCAGCTAATTTTTGTATTTTTAGTAGAGACGGGGTTTCACCATGTTGACCAGGATGGTTTCGATCTCTTGACCTTGTGATCCATCTGCCTTGGCCTCCCAAAGTGCTGGGATTACAGGCGTGAGCCACCGCGCCCAGCCTTCAACAACTGTTTCTTAAATAGTGTTATGTGCTAGGCATTGGGATGGGTGATGCGGATACACTACAGACTTCTTGAGGACAGAGATTTTGAGAGTTTCATTCAGTACTTTGTTTCCAGTGAGTAGAATGTTCCTTGTACACAGAGAACAGTCAGTGTCTAGCAAATAGCACTCTAGAAGTAAGTTCTTACTGAATGAATGGTGACAGAGTTTCTAAAATTTAGTCTGATAGGCTTAATATAGCCTAGTTTGAGAGTACTTAGGGCAGTGATTGACGAGTTTGGAATATGAAGAATCCATGATGGAATAAATAATTTTATTGGAACTTTTGGTAGATTGGGTTTAAGTTTCTAACTTACTAGATAGGCAGATCACTTTGTGACCCCATTTTCTCATCTGAAGAATGGCAATAATAATTACCTGTTGAGTTGATGTCCCAGAAAGATGGACCATGTTTATTCTGTGGCTTTGCTAACCTTTGGCACTGTAAGTTCCACATTTTGATTTGTAGGGTAGGGGCTTGTTGAAAGCTGGAAATTGTACTTTCAGTAATTGCAGTGCTCATTGTGTGGGCATGAATCATAAACTTTTATTTCGGTGGAAATAAGTTGACATTAAGCCACTTAGTGACCCATAAAATACTGTAAATTGTTATAATAGCTAATGCTTACTGAGTTTTAACAATGTTCCAGGGACTAAGTACAGTATTATTTCACATAGCCCTCGTAATGTTCCTGTAAGATGAATGCTATTGTTATAATTCCTACTTTATCGATGAGAAAACTGAGCCACCACAAAGTTAACTAATGTATGTGTCTAGGTTCTCACAGCCAGTAAGTAGTGGATGAGGATTATGAAGATTTTAAGATTTGAAACAGTTGGCTATTAAAAAGGAACTTAACTATTGTAGTTATTAAAAGTAATTATAAAAACTGTCGGACAGGCTCATGCCTGTAATCCCAACACTTTGGGAGGCTGAGGAGGGTGGATCACTTGAAGTCAGGAGTTCGAGACCAGCCTGGCCAACAAGGTGAAACCTTGTCTCTATTAAAAAACTACAAAAATTATTTGGGCATGGGGGTGCACGCCTATAACCCCAGCTACTTGGGAGGCTGAGGCATGAGAATCACTTGAACCAGGAGTTGGAGGCTGCAGTGAGCTGAGATTGTTCACACCATTGCACTTCAGCCTGGGTGACAGAGTGAGACTCCATCTCAAAAAAAAGAAAAAAAAAAGGCCAGGTGCGTGGCTCACATCTGTAATCCCAGCACTTTGAGTGGCCAAGGCGAGCAAATTGCCTGAGCTCAGGAGTTTGAGACCAGCCTGGGCAACACGGTGAAACTACGTCTCTACTAAAATACAAAAAAATTAGCCGGGCATGATGGCGTGTACCTGTAATCCCAGCTACTCAGGAGGCTGAGGCAGGAGAATTGCAAGAACCCAGAAGTCGAGGTTGCAGTGAGCCAAGATCGCATCATTGCACTCCAGCCTGGGTGCCAGAGCGAGACTCCACCTCAAAAAAAAAAAAAAAAAAAAAAAAGAAAAGCAGCAGCAGCAAGAAAATAAAAAATGAGAATGACAACATTCTCAGTCACTGTTCATTTTTTAATTTCTGGAATTTGCACATACTGAGACTCAGACTGGTCTGGGCATAGTGGCTCACATTTCTAATTCCAGAACTTTGGGAGGCTGAGGCAGGAGGATTACTTGAGCCCAGGAGGTGGAGACCAGTCTGGGCAACCTAGTGAGACCTTGTCTCTACAAAAATAAAAAAATTAACAGGGTCTTGCAGTTTAATATAATGGCGCACAGTTTTTATAATGGCGCACACTTGTCATCTCAGCTACTTGGAACTGAGGTGGGAGGATCACCTGAGCCCAGGAGGTCAAGGCTGTAGTGAGCTGTGATTATGCCACTGCACTGCAGCCTCTGTGAGAAAGTGAGACCTTGTCTCAAAAGAAAACAAAAACAAAAAAACCAAACAAAAACCCCCACAAAAACTCAAACCATGTATTGGAGCTCAGAGCTCAGATAAATTGAATGTATTGAATGTCAGCTGTGTAAGGATGAGACTGCAATGTGGGTCTACAGACCCAGTGTCCTTCTAGTTTTGAGATTTCCTCTTCAGAAAGAATTCTTTCTCTCATTTCTGCAGACCTTGTGTGCACTCATTCGAGGAGTCCATCAAAAGAATAAGTCTACCTCTGGGTTTGACATTATCAACATGCTAATGGGCTTTGACAAGGCGGAGCTCTGCATGAAGGTGAGGCATAAGCTGCAGATATGCCTATGGGTGTCTGCTTCTCACAGCTATTCATGGACACTATCAGCAGACAAATGTATTTAAGATTTGGATCAGATAGATATAGATGATTGAACTTGGCCTTGCATTTGGATGTTTTTATTTAACAGGTTTGCTTTATCTGAATAAAGGAAATTTTTAAATTCAAATTTGAATGGAGTTATTCTTTCTCTGCAGGATAAAGACTGAAGAGTTTATTTTGTTACTCATATCATACGATCATACATTCTTAAGAACATTTATGAATTTAAATAAAATATAACAAATTAACATGCAGGGTAACTTTAATTCTAAACTTAAAGTTTGTTTAATACAATTAATTTGATTTTACCAGAATTTTTCTATCTAGTGTTTGACACTATCTTTTTTTTTAATAACAGCCTTATCATTAATATAGTATACATACACCCTTTTAGATTATACAATCTGGCCACATGCCATGGCTCATACCTATAATCCCAGCACTTTGGGAGGCCAAGGTGGGCAGATTGCTTGAGCTCAGGAGTTTCAGATCAACCTGCGCAACGTGGCAAAACCTCATCTCTACAAAAAATACAAAAATTAGCTGGGTATGGTGGTGCATGCCTGTAAGTCCCAGCTACTGGGGGGAGGCTGAGGTGGGAGGATTTCTTGAACCTGGGAGGTAGAGGTTGCAGTGAGCTGAGATCTCACCACTGCACTCCAGCCTGGGCATCAGAGCAAGACCCTGTCTCAAAAAGAAGAAAATAAGTAAAATGTACAATCCAGTGAATTTTTTTCTTTCTTTTTCTTTTTTTTTTTTTTTGAGACAGAGTCTTGCTCTGTCACCAGACAGGGTTTCACCACGTTGGCCAGGATCATCTCGATCTCTTGACCTCATGATTCACCCACCTTGGCCTCCCAAAGTACTGGGATTACAGGCGTGAGCCACCGCGCCCAGCCGAATTTTAGTATATTCATAGAATTATACAATTATCATCACTATCAATTTCAGAACATTTTCATCACCCTAGAAAGAAAACCTGTACCTATTAGTAGTCATTCTCCAGTTCTCTCCTCTTCTCAACCCTTGGCAAGCATTAACCTGCTTTATGTCTCTGTGAGTTTAGCTATTCTGGATACCTCATATAAATGGAATCATATCATATGTAGCCTTTTGGGTCTGACATTTACTTCACATAATGTTTTTGTGGTTCATCCATATTATAGGATGTGTCAGTATTTCATTCCTTTTTATTGCCTAATAATATTCCTTTGGATGGAGATAATCACTACATTTTGTTTATCCATTCCTCAGTTGATAGATATTTGAGTCATTTCAACATTTTAGCTATTAGGAATAATGCTGCGGTGAATGTTCACTTATAAGTTTCTGTATGTATGTACTTATATTTTTATTTATTTATGAGGTCTTGTTATGTTACCCCAGCTGGTCTTGAACTCCTGGCCTCAAGTGATCCTCCTGTCTCAGCCTTCCAAAGTGCTGAGATTACAAGCATGAGCCATTGCACTTGGGCCACACATGTTTTAAATTCTCTTGAGCATATACCTAGGTGTAGAATTGCTGGGTCACATGGTAACTCTATATTTGACATTTTAGGAATTACCAAGCCATTTTTCCCTAGTGGCTGTTCCATTTTATAATTTCACTAGCCATGTTTGAGGGTTCTAGTTTCTTCACATTATGTCAATAGTTGTTTTTGTCTGTCTTTTCTTTCTTTATTTTTTTGAGAAATGTCTTTCATATCCTTTGCCCATTTCTAGATTGGTGTGTCTTTTATTGTTGAGTTATAAGAGTTCTTTACATATTCTGAGTATTTCTTTTATCAGTTATATAACTGATTTTCAGTGTTGGATACTATATCGAATGAATGCTGTTTGAACTTCGAAGAACGGTCTTCTGTTACTCATTAAATTTAAAATAAATTTGTATACCAGAGAATCCTTATAGTGGTTAGGTTACAAAAATTGATGATATGGCCAAATGCGATGGTTTATGCCTGTAATCCCAGCACTTTGGGAGGCCGAGGTGGGTGAATCATGAGGTCAGGAGATCGAGACCATTCTGGCCATGGTGAAACCCCATCTCTACTAAAATTAAAAAAAAAATTAGCCAGGTGTGGTGGTGGGCACCTGTAGTCCCAGCTACTCAGGAGGCTGAGGCAAGGGAATTGCTTGAACCTGGGAGATGAAGGTTGCAGTGAGTTGAGATCGTGCTACTGCACTCCAGCCTGGCGACAAAGCAAAACTCTGTCTCAAAAAAAAAAAAAAAAAAAAAAGGAGGCTGGGCGCGGTGGCTCACGCCTGTAATCCCAGCACTTTGGGAGGCCGAGGCGGGTGGATCATGAGGTGAAGAGATCGAGACCATCCTGGTCAACATGGTGAAACCCCATCTCTACTAAAAATACAAAAAATTAGCGGGGCATGGTGGCGCGTGCCTGTAATCCCAGCTACTCGGGAGGCTGAGGCAGGAGAATTGCCTGATCCCAGGAGGCGGAGGTTGCGGTGAGCTGAGATCGCGCCATTGCACTCCAGCCTGGGTAACAAGAGTGAAACTCCATCTCAAAAAAAAAAGGAATATATAATTATGAGTATACTAAAAAGAAAAAAAATGAATTCACAAAGATTTAGTACTTAGAGTTATTTTTAAATTCTGGCCTTTTGCAGTTCATGTATATGCCATGGTAAAATCTGAGATAGCTCTTCATTCTCATAGTTCTAATTACTGCTTGTATGTTGATGACTGTTAATTTAGCCTTAACATCTCCTTATGATCTCAGAGTTGTATACTCTGTGCTTGCTGAATGTACTTATTCACACATCCCCTAAGTACTTCTTGCTTGATATATCCAGAATGGAACTCACTATTTCTCCTGCATCTCTTCCTTATTCATTCCCTTTCAGAATGGATGCAGCTGTCTTCACAGGCCCCAAGCTGAACTTGGTGATCACCAAGTTCAGCTAATTTTACCTCAGTTCATATTCCTCATACTTGTCTTCCTCTGTTCCCACCATCTTTGTTATCTCTCACTAGAACTATTACAGTGATGCTTTCATTCATTCTCTCTTTTTTTTTTTTTTTTTTTGAGAAGGAGTCTTGCTCTGTTACCCAGGCTGGAGTGTAGTGGTACAATTTCAGCTTACTGCAACCTTCCCCTCCCGGGTTAAAGCGATTCTCCTGTCTTATCCGCTGGACTAGCTGGGATTACAGGCATGTGCCACCACACCTGGCTAATTTTTGTATTTGTGGTGGAGACGGGGTTTCACCATGTTGACCAGGCTGGTCTTGAACTCCTGACCTCAGGTGATCTACCCATCTTGGCCTCCCAAAGTTCTGGAATTACAGGTGTGAGCCACTGCGCCTGGCCCATTCATTCTTTTGACAAACATTTGTTGGGCTCCTATATGCCAGGTACTGTGGTAGGCACTGAGGATATAAGAGGCAAATAAGACACGGCAACTGTCTCAGGAAATTGATAATTAGTCCTCATTAGTCTCCCTCCTTTCAAGCTTCCCATCTTTAAATCCATCATCCACAGTGACACCACAACTGTGTGGTGTTAGTATGTATATCTTACACTCATCTTTCCTGCTTAAAATCCTTCATTAATCTCCTGTCACTAACAGGATAAAGACCAAACTCCCTACTTAGACTTAGAAAACTCATAATCTGGACTATATTTACTTCTCTAGTCTTATATCTTACTACTGTGCCTCATTTTTTATGCTCCCATAAAAACAAACTGCTTTTATTTCAACCCCTCACTAGGGCCATTTCTTTCCTTATATGTCTTTGATGATGATAATGTCTGTCTGGAATTCCTTTCCTCCCCAATTCCTATTGAATTTTCAAAATATAACTAATATAACTTACTCCTGAGGGGTCTTGGAATGGGTGACTTTAGAGCAAATTCCATACCTCCATGTATATTTCTGTCATAGTAAATACTGAATTGAAACTGTTGGCTTGTGTTTCTCTTCCATTAGATTAAAACGCACCTTGACAGCAAGGGTCATGACGGTTTTAGTTTTTTCATATATATATATATGCATTTCTTTTTTTTTGAGATGGAGTCTTGCTCTGTTGCCCAGGCTGGAGTTCAGTGGCACAGTCTCAGCTCACTGCAACCTCCACCTCCCAGGTTCAAGTGATTCTTGTGTTTCAGCCTCCTGAGTAGCTGGGATTACGGGCGCACACTACCATGCCTGGCTAATTTTTGTATTTTTAGTAGAGATGGAATTTCACCATGTTGGTCAGGCTGGTCTTGAACTCCTGACCTCATGATCTGCCCACCTCGGCTTCCCACCCACCACCTCGGGCATGGTGGCTCATGGCCTGGGATTAAAGGCGTGAGCCACCACGCCCAGCCCCTATATTCTTTTAAAGCATTGTATTCAGCACAGAGTAGATGCTCACATATTTATTAAATTGAACTGAAGCAGTTTACCTTAGCCTTCCAGCATGCTTAAATCCTTAGTCTCCATCTGTTCTCCTCCCTCATTTAATGTAGAATATTTCTTTTCATTTTCCCTTTATTGTAATATGCAAGGGTTTCATCTTTTGATTAGTTTGGGTGTATTAGCTGGCTTTTAGTGCAACTGATAAATTCCAATTACATTGCCAAGTAAATACCAGGATGGACACAAGTTAGCTTCATTGGATAGTGCATATGGCTAGTGATAGCCTGTAATGATATTGTTTCTTTGTCATTTATTCAGTGTGCCTGAATCAAGTGTTATGCTTTCTTTACCAAATAATGAAACTTGCCAGGCATAGTGGTTCACAACTGGAATGCCAACCCTTTGGGAGGCCGAGGCAGGAGCTCAGGAGTTTGAGACAACATGGTGAGACCTTGTCTCTGTTAAAAAAAAAAAAAAAAAGAAATAAAGAAATAAAAATAGCCAGATGTGGTGGCACGCATCTGTGGTCCCAGCTATTTGGGAGGCTGAGGTGGGAGGATGACTTGATCCCAGGAGTTTGAGATTGCAGTGTGCTATGAACATGCCCTGCTCTCCAGCCTGGCTGACAGAGTAAGACTCTGTCTCAAAAAAAAAAGGAAAAGAAACTTACATACAATTATTGAACCATTAGGTTTCCTTTTTTTTTTTTTTGAGACGGAGTTTCGCTCTTGTTACCCAGGCTGGAGTGCAATGGCGCCATCTCGGCTCACCACAACCTCTGCCTCCTGGGTTCAGGCAATTCTGCCTCAGCCTCCTGAGTAGCTGGGATTACAGGCACGCGCCACCATGCTCAGCTACTTTTTTGTATTTTTAGTAGAGATGGGGTTTCACCATGTTGACCAGGATGATCTTGATCTCTTGACCTCATGATCCACCCACCTCGGCCTCCCAAAGTGCTGGGATTACAGGCTTGAGCCACCGCGCCCGGCCCAGGTTTCCCTTTTTTTATTTGCTTCATTCTAATCTAAAGGTTTGTATGAGGATGACAGACTGCAAACATGCATTCGTTTGGTAGAACAGTGAATTCTTTACTGTTCTTGTGTAATTTTTCTAAAGCGTTTTCTCAATATAGCTAGATTTTGAAGTCTTGTTAATCTTTTTCTTTCTTAGTAACCCAGCCTGGGAAGTCCTCCTTTTCTTTTTCTAACCTTGCAAGGTCTAGGCCTATGGAAATGATAGGGTTGCTTCATTTGTGTTATTCACATTACCCTGTATAGCATAACCCAGAGTTGGACAAAGGTGGGGTGTTACCTGGTATGGTTTAATGCTTATTGGTTCTTTTTCTCAGAACTTGATGGAGAGTTTGGATTCATTGCTTTGTGCAGAAGGTTCTGAAAGTCTGAAGAGTTTATGTCTGAAACTTCTCCTTTGCTTAGTGACTGTAAGTAACCTGTCTATGTTTGTCAAGGGTATTAATTGACAGGAGGGACAATCCTATTTGAATACTTGAGCCCAAAGATAGAAGGAAAAAGAGAAAAAATATTCTCGGTGGGAGTATTGCATCACTCCCTTATGTCTGGATGTGTAGGAAGTTAGCTGCATGGTCTTTTGCTTCCTAAAAGTTGCTTTTGGAGCAACGACTGGCATTTTCAGCCTGTGGGCTATGTGATATTTCACTTTAGAAGTTTTGCTTCAGGGGAACTACTATCTTTTGGGTTGTATCAGGTGTCCTTATCAGGTCTCATTTGGAAATAATTCTTGTGATTCTGAGTTGTTTTTTTTTTTTTTTTGGGACAGTACCCGGCTGGCTTTGATTTTATAACTGTAGGCTCCCTGTACTTTCTTGTGGAAGGAGAGTGGGGTATTGATCATTTACTTCAGGAGGTTCTCTTTCCCTGCCACCTCTTAAAGACTTCTGCATTCATAAACCTCTTCCTGTGCACTTGAGGAATAAAACCCAAGAAACTGTTAAGCAAACGCATGTGTGAGGATATGAGAGAAACAATGAGAAGTTCAAAGATGTAGGAAGTTTTAATTTGCTCATTTCCTACTTCTATAACATCTGTCTATTCAGGCTCTCATGACTTAAGGGGCACTTGTGAAAGGTCTGTTAAGTTATCTAGTAGAAATATTTTAATATTTCTATTTCTCTTAGATGCTAGGAAGGAGATTACATGAGATATCAGAATGCCTCAGTACAGACTTTAAAAAGCCTTTTATTGCATTCAGGTGACGGATAACATCAGCCAGAACACTATTCTTGAGTATGTAATGATCAACAGCATATTTGAAGCAATTTTACAGGTAGGTCAATTCCCTTGTTACCTCTTTCTCTTTGGGGTAAACCATCTCTTCAAATTTTCTCTGTATTCCGAGGAACCAGGAGTTAAAAGTCTCATGCATTTTTGGTTCTTGTTACAGATACTTTCACATCCCCCAAGTCGTAGGGAGCATGGGTATGATGCCGTTGTTCTCTTGGCTTTGCTGGTGAACTATCGAAAATATGAGGTAACTGGGACCTTTAGTGGATGGTTGTTATCTTCCTATAACCTTGTTAAATTTGGCCCCTCCTAAAGGACTTTGTTTAATGTAGAAGACATGTTCTTGGTAAATGGTATATAGATTAATTTTGATAACCTAGATTCTAAAATTTCTATATTAAATACATGGGGTAGAGGATCTAGTTGTTCAAAGGAATCCTGTGATGCAACTTCTAAGGAAGCGAGTAAGTACTTCCTAATGTGGTGATTCCCATACCCAGCTTACTAGAATCACCTAAGAATTTTTTAAAAAGAAAACATTTCTGGATCTTATTCTGCACATAGTAAATCAGAATCTTTTGGGGCTGGGGAAAAGAGGGACCTGGGAATTTTTTCTTTTTTTTAAGTTCTCCTATTGAATATGATGATTAGCCAGGATTGAGAACCACTGACCTAGTATATCTATTTTGAAAGATTTGATTTTTGTACAGTATGTGTCACTTAACAAGGATACATTCTGAGAAATGTGTCATTAGGCAGTTTTGTTGTCATGTGAATGTGAGAGAGTGTCTTTATACAAATTTAGATGGTATAGCCTGCTACATACTGAGGCTACATGATATAGCCTAGTACATACCTAAGCTACATGGTATAGCCTATTTCTCTTAGGCTACAAACCTGTATAGCATATGGCTATATTGAATACTGTAGGCAATTATAACACAGTAGTAATTATTTAAGTATTTAAGCATACCCAGCTGGGCATGGTGATTCACACCTATAATCCTAGTGCTTTGGGAGGCTGAGATGGGAGGATTGCTTGAGGCCTGGACTTTGAGACCAGTCTGATCCACATAGTAAGACACTGTCTCTACAAAAAAACTTAAAAATTAGCTGGGTGTGGTGGTATGCATCTGTAGTCTCAGCTACTTGGGAGGCTGAGGTAGGAGGATTGGCTGAGCCAAGGAGTTTGAGGCTGCAGTGAGTCATGATTACACCACTGCACTCCAGTCTGGGTGACAGAGTGAGACCCTGTCTTTAAAAAAAAAAAATCTACTACATACTGAGGGACGGTAGCTAAGTCTAGGGATGGTAGCTCACACCTATAATCCCAGAACTTTGGGAGGCCAAGGCTGGTAGATTGCTTGAGCCCAGGAGTTCAAGACCAGCCTGGCCATCATGGCAAAACTCCATCTGTATTTTTAAAAATATAAAAATGAGCCAGGCATGGTGGCAGATGCTGGTAGTCCCAGCTACTCAGGAGGCTGAGGAGGGAGGATGGCTTGAGCCCTGGAGGTGGAGGTTACAGTGAGATGAGATTGTGCCCCTATGCTCCAGCCTGGGTGAGGGTGACAAAGCCAGATCTTGTCTCAAAAACAAACATACAAAATCTAAACCTAGAAAAGGTATGGTGAAAGAATGATATAAAAGATGAAAAATATTCTTGTTGATCTTCATAAAACATAAAAAAGGTGATAAAATCAGACACCCTAATAGGACACTTTCTATGAATGGAGCTTGCAGGACTGGAAATTGCTCTGGGTGAGTCAGTGAGTGAGTGGTGAGTGAATGTGAAGGCCTAAGACATTACTGTACACTACTATAGACTTTTTTTTTTGGTTTGTTTTGAGACAGAGTCTTGATCTGTTGCCCAGGCTGTAGTGCAGTGGTGCAATCTCAGCTCACTGCAGTCTTTGCCTCCCAGGTTCAAGTGATTGTCCTGCCTCAGCTTCTTGAGTAGCTGGGAGTACAGGGACCTGCCATAGGTGCCTGTAGAAACAGGGTTTTACCATGTTGGCCAGGCTGGTCTTGATCCACCCGCCTTGGCCTCCCAGAGTGCTAAGATTACAGGTGTAAGCTACCGTGCCTGGCCACCTATCAACTTTGTAAACATTGTACACTTAGGCTATGTTAAATTTATGAAAACAATTTTTCTTTCTTTAATAATAACTTACTGTAACTTTTACTTTATAAACTAAAAGAATTAAAAGCTTTTTAACTCCTTTGTAATAACATTTAGCTTGAAACACAAACATATTGTACTATAGATTGTCATGTTGGCCAGGCTGGTCTCAAACTCCTGACCTCATGTGATCTTGGTCTCCCAAAGAGCATAAAAAACATATCTTTATTCTGTAAGCTTTTTTCAGTTAAAAAAATTTTTTTAAACTTATTAGTTAAAAACTGAGACATGGACAGGTATACTGGCTCACGCCTGTGTTCCCAGCACTTTGGGAAACCTAGGCAGGCAGATCACAAGGTCAGGAGTTCAAGACGAGCCTGGCCAATATGGTGAAACCCCATCTCTACTAAAAATACAAAAATTAGCTGGGTGTGGTGGCGGGCACCTGTAGTGCCAGCTACTCAGGAGGCCGAGACAGGAGAATCACTTGAACCTGGAGGCAGATGTTGCAGTGAGCTGAGATTGTGCCATTGCACTCCAGCCTGGGCAACTGAGCGAGACTCCATCTCAAAAAAAAAAAAACAAAAAAAAAAACAAAGCAAAAGTGGGACACAAACACACAAATTAGCATAGGCCTATACAGGGTCCGGATGGTCAGTATCACTGTCTTTCGCCTCCACATTTGGACGGTCTTTAGGGAAATAATACACATGAAGCTGTTATTTCCTGTGATAATGCTTTCCTCTGGAATACCTGCTCAAGGACCCACCTTCGGTTATTTTACAGTTAACTTTTTTTCTTTTAATAAGTAGAAGGAATACAATAGAAAATAACACTAAAAAGTATAGTTAGACTGGTCATGGTGGCTTATGCCTGTAATCCCAGCACTTTGGGAGGCAGAGGTGGGTGGATCACCTGAGGTCAGGAGTTTGACCATCCTGGCCAATATAGCGAAACCCTATCTCTACTAAAAATACAAAAAATTAGCTGGGCATGGTGGTGCACACCTTTAGTCCCAGCTACTCAGGAGGCTGATGCATGAGAATTGCTTGAACCCAGGAGGTGGAGGTTGCAGTGAGTTGAGATTGCACCAATGCACTCCAGCCTGGGTGAAAAAGCAAGGCTCCATCTCAAAAGAAAAAATAAGTATATTAAATACATAAACCAGTAACATAGTCGTTTATTATCATTATCCAGTATTGGGTAGTATGCATAATTGTATGTGCTATACTTTTTCTTTTGAGATGGAGTCGCGCTCTGTTGCCCAGACAAGTGTAGTGACATGATCTCGGCTCACTGCAACCTCCATTTCTGAGGCTCTAATGATCCTCCTGCCTCAGACTCCTGAGTAGCTGGGACTACAGGCATGCGCCACCATGCCCAGCTATTTTTTTTTTATTTTTGGTAGAGATGGGGTTCAACATATTACCTAGGCTGGTCTTGAACTCCTGAAGTGATCTGCCCACTTCAGCCTCCCAAAATGTTGGGATTATAGTAGTGAGCCACTGTGCCTGGCTGATAATTGTATGTCCTATACTTTTATATGACTGGCAGCACAGTAGGTTTCCTTACACCATTATCACCACAAATATGTGAGTAATGAATGGGTTGCACTATGTGATAATGGCTAAAATGTCACTGGGTTATAGGGATTTTTCAGTTCCATTATAATCTCATGGGATCACCGTAGAATATGCAGTCTATTATGGACCAAAATGTCTTTATGCAACATGTCACTGTATATCAGATTTCCTTATCCCTGTATATCAGATCTCCTTATGCAGTCTACTTATATAAGTATCACTGTTGGCCTAGAAACTCCTTCTGATTTTAATGAAAAATTGAAGTCAGTGCCTTATTTATCCCAGTTCGGGAGTTCTTTTTGCCCCTGAATTAATCAGGGTGCAGATTTATAGGTTTTTTTAGATGAACAGATGAAGAGCAGAATCCAAAGATTTATACTTGGATTGGCACATGTATTTGATTTTCTTCAAAAGACAGAATAGACAGAAAAGGAAGGGGACCACTCAAGGAAGACAAGGGTTTTCATTGGAGATTGCTTTTGAGGAGTAGGAGGCATTTGGCACTGAGTTTGGGCACTAGGAGCATTTTGCTGAATCCGAAAGTCAGGGGTTTCACTGAGGCAACCTGACTTTGTTCACTTAATAAGTAGCAATACTACGAGAATTAAGCCAGCTGGACAGAGAATTTTCTTTTTTGAGCTTCTGAATCTTCACCTACTGATTTTTTTTTTTCTTTTGAGACAGAGTCTTTCTCTGTTGCCAGGTGCCAGCCAGGCTGGAGTGCAGTGGCGCGATCTCGGCTTACTGCAACCTCCTCCTCCCGGGTTCAAGCAATTCTCCTGTCTCAGCCTCCCGAGTGGCTGGGACTACAGGCGTGAGCCACCACACCCAGCTACTTCTTTGTATTTTTTTTGGTAGAGATGGTGTTTCACCATGTTGGCCAGGATGGTCTCGATCTCTTGACCTCATGATCTGCCCGCCTTGGCCTCCCAAAGTGCTGGGACTATAGGTGTGAGCCACCTCGCCCAGCCCACCTAGTGATTTTTGATATGATAAAGCCTAGGTAGGCTTTATTTGGCCAGGTTGAAAGTGATGTGTAACACAAAATCTGGAGCTTATTCTTTTTTTTTTTTTCCGAGGCGGAGTCACTGTGTCACCCAGGCTAGAGTGCAATGGTGTGATCTTGGCTCACTGCAGCCTCCTCCTCCCAGGTTCAAGCAATTCTCTTGCCTCAGCCTCCTAAGTAGCTAGGACTACAGGCACGTGCCACCACACCCGGCTAATTTTTGTATTTTTAGTAGAGACAGGTTTTCACTGTGTTAGCCAGGATGGTCTCGAACCTGGAGCTGATTCTTATAAGAGATATATAAAAGCAGGGGAGGTTGTGAGAAAGGAATATTTATTTATTTATTTTTTGAGAAGGAGTTTCACTCTTATTACCCAGGCTGGAGTGCAATGGCTCTATCTCAGCTCACCGCAACCTCCGCCTCCTGGGTTCAAGCAATTCTCCTGCCTCAGCCTCCTGAGTAGCTGGGACTACAGGCGTGCGCCACCATGCCCAGCTAATTTTTGTATTTTTAGTAGAGACGGTGTTTCACCTTGTTGACGAGGATCGTCTCGATCTCTTGACCTCATGATCCATCCGCCTTGGCCTCCCAAAGTGCTGGGATTATAGGCATGAGCCACCATGCCCGGCCGAGAAAGGAATACTTAATGAGGGACTAGAATATGCAGAACAATGTTAATGTGTTATAAATGCCAAGATCTGATTGCTTTTATTGTGTTAGAGGAACTGATGAATGTGTATAGAGCTCCTAATAAATATGAAATTTATTCCCAACACCTGTTTTACTGATGATCTGGAGGGGTTGGCATGGTAGCCATCTTGATCTCTGTCATGTGTAATAGCCTCTGGGGCCTCATTACAACAGCCAGAAAAATAGCTGTGGAAAATGCTGAGGATAGTTAAAGAGAGGTGAGGGTTATATGTGATAGGAACACACTATCATCAGTAATGAATATTTTCGGAATATTCTCCTGGATGCAGGCCATTCTGAGGCAATGGCTTGGCTTCCCTGATTGTGTTCTGAATCCTGGCTCAGCTCTGTAGGGCTCTCTGAAATGTCATCCTGAAATATTGGACATGGCCAAGGAACTGGAGAGAATCATATTTCTGGAATGAGGTATGCATCTCTAGTCTTTCAGAAGCCCCCAGAAGAATTAATATAGTGGGCAAGGGCGAGCTTGTGGGCCTAATTTATCTGGGCTTTGCAGTTTTTGATATAAATCATTCACCAGAAACCATTAAGGAAGCCTGATGATCATGGAGCGGGAAGATTTTTGACAGGAACGTGAGGAATTCTGGATCAACATGGCAAAACCAAAGCTGGTAAAATTCTGTGCAAACTAGCATGAGAGACTGTGCTAGGGAGAAAAGCATTCTAGCCATCAATCTCATAATCAGTGGGGTAAGTTGTAACCTTACCAGAAGGGTACCAAGGCACAGAGAGGCTGGGCACCCAACTAAGCACAGTCAAAGTGTCAAAGTGAAGATGTTATTGGACTTAAGGAATAAAAGTGATGGAAAAGATACCATGTAGTAAATGTGTAGTTCTTCCTCACTTCAAATAACGTATTCTATTTTAATAATTTCATCTAAAGAGACAGAAGAGCCTCCAAAAAACGTCTAGGGAAGAGCAATGAAAAATAGTATGTGTAGCTTTGATCAAATAAAGGCAGGACTCTATTAGAGTGCTACTGTGAAGACTCACAGAGTTTGTAATTCTGTCTAATGGATGAAAAGTAGATTGCCTCCGGTTTTAAAAAGTGACCAGCACAACAGGTGTATAGTTTTAAAAATCAGCATCTGGTAAAATAGAAATTTTCACAACATTAAGATCCTGGCTTTCTAGGCTGGCCAAGTCTATTGAGATGAAGTGACTCAGACCCCAACTGTTTCCTAGAGCATGACATTTCTCAGAAATTACCATACTGTTTATTATGTCTAATTGCAAGTTGTTCCTTTTCTCCCCACACTTCCCTTTTTCCTAAAGAGCTTGCCTTTGCATGTGATAATAATGTAAAAGGAGAAAAAAATATAGCTACCTATATCAATTATTGAGCCTTTAGCTACTGTGCTAAAGATTTGATGTGTCTTACTTCATTTAAGCCTTGTAGCAACCACAGCATAAAAAATACAGGTTGACCATCTCTAATCTGAAAATTTGAAATCCAAAATGCCCCCAAATCTGAAACTTTCTGAATACCAACATGACACTCCTTGACTTCCTAGGCTCACGTGATCCCCCCACCTTAGCCTTCCGAGTAGCTGGGACTACAGGCACGTGTCACTATGCCCAGCTAACTTTTTTTTTTTTTTTTTTTTGAGATGGAGTCTCGCTCTGCCACCCAGGTTGGAGTGCAGTGGTGCAATCTTGGTTCACTGCAACCTCCGCCTCCTGGGTTCAAGCAATTTTCCTGCCTCACCCTCCCAAGAAGCTGGGATTACAGGCATGCTCCACCACACCTGGCTAATTTTTGTATTTTTAATGGAGACGGGTTTCTCTATGTTGGTCAGCTGTTCTTGAACTCCTGACCTCAGGTGATCCACCTGCCTCAGCTTCCCAAGATGCTGGGATTACAGGAGTGAGCTACCGTGCCTGGCCCCAGCTAACTCTTTAATTTTTCATAGAAATAGGGATTTGTCATGTTGTCCAAGCTGGTTTCAAACTCCTGGGCCAAGTGCTCTTTCCACCTTGGCCTCCCAAAGTGTTAGGATTACAGGTATGAGCCACCATGACCAACCCTAAAGCATTTTAGATGAGATACTCAACCTGTATCCTCATTTTGCAGATGAGGAAATAGAAACTTACCCTAATGTGCCTAATTTGTCACACTAAGCAGAAGAACTAGAATGCAGACCTTTGCTTGGAAATCAAATGATCCTGATTAACACCTAAACAGGCTGGGCGCGGTGGCTCACACTTGTAATCTCAGCACTTTCGGAGGCTGAGGCAGGGGGATCACTTGAGGTTGGGAGTTTGAGACCAGCCTGACCAACTTGGAGAAACCCTTGTCTCTAATAAAAATACAAAATTACCTGGGCATTGTGGCACATGCCTGCAATCCCAGCTACTCAGGAGGCTGAGGCAGGAGAATCACTTGAACTGGGAGGCGTAGCTTGTGGTGAGCCGAGATCACGCCATTGCCCTCCAGCCTGGGAAACAAGAGGGAAACTTCGTCTAAAAAAACAAACAAACAAACAAAAAACCTTAAAGCAGCCTACTTTTGGGAAGATGAGTGACCAGAACTTTAAAAAATCATGCCAAGAAATAGTGGTCTGCTCTTTCTAGTGTTACTCTCATCATGGCAGCATCTCTAAGTCAGCTGATTTTGCTTGATTTTCTTTTCTGAGGATTCACTTGCTTGGGATCTTCTCTGAGGTCTGTAGAATTGGCAGAATTTTACTGTTGGTTATAGGAAGAAGTGTTGAGAGCCTTTCTTCTGTCAGATCAAGTAACAAATGGCGTGGGGTTTACACCTTAAGTTGTGTTGCATTAAACCTTATAAACATTTGAGCTGTTAAGAAAGCAAAGCTGTCTCGTTCTCTGTTCCCAACTGACATGTGAAAGATGCCCTCAGAAGCTTGGTTAAATAGGTCTGTGTGGGGAATGAGTCTTTCAGTTGGGTTTTCAAGTTTCTCAGTAATGAGTTTTTTGGTAGCTGTAGAAACTGCCAGTCTGAGAACTATTGTTCCTTGCCTCTCTTAGATTAGATTTGGTGCCTGATCTATATGAAATCTTTCCTCACATCCTATAGGTGCAAGGAAAGGTCATTTGTTCTCATCCTCTTGTAGGAGATGGTCCAATTGCTTTATTAGTTTAAATATATGTTCATTTTCTTATGCTGCCCAACTGAGATTGGGTCTGTAATAACTCAAGAATCCTTCCAGTGCTGCAAGTGATGGGACAATCATTAAATCCCAGTGTTCTGACCAGATTGTTGTTTGGATAATTACATTCTTTTTTTCAGTTCCCCCTGCAGTGTTATTTGGTTATCAGATCTCCATAAATGGCCTCTCTGGCTGTTAAGCAGCTGCCACTTTCCACCCCAAGGTGGCTTTGTTTTACGGGTGGGTGAATCAGTCCTTGCATATAGTTTGTGAAATGGTTAGGGAGCCTTTGGGATGAAAATGTAAGTTAGCAACTTGTAAATATGTGCCTTATGGCAAGAAGCTTTTATGTCCCCCAAAAGACAGCTATCCCTATGGACTTAGCAAATTATTGGTAGAGTAGGACAAAGTGAGTTCTGTGGAGCATTCACTTACTTTCTAGATGCAAGTAAAAGGAAAGATGGTAGAAGTGGTAGACATAGGCCTGCACTGATTCCACCTAAGGAAAAATACAGGTAGAACAGAACTGAGGTATGTGTATGTATCTGTGTGTACACTTGATGGATGCCCATATACACTGAGAAATTAACTGGAAATCGGAGGAGTCAGCAGGCAATATGGATTGGGGCTGTGTATCAGGAGCATTGCGTAGAGAGAGGGCCTTATAGAAGCATTTCTGTTAATACTTTTTAAAAGCTAATGGGCTTTCTTAACTAGGTCACACTTACCTGGAGTCTATTCTCTTATTTAACAGTCTGTGAATCCTTATATTGTGAAGCTATCTATTGTGGATGATGAGGCCACACTCAATGTGAGTATCTGGATCCTTGTGTATTTTCTTACTAATTTGCATTCAGTGGCATTACTTTTAGTGGACATTTAGAACAGAAAGCTATCCTGTCAATTTCATCTGGTTATAGAGAGGGAATTAATATTTCCTTTTAGTGCATCAGTGCTACTGTTTTACTGTCTTCTGACTTATTTGCTTGCTAATCGTAATGAAGTGGTTGGTTATGTTTCATGTTATAGTGTGCTGAAGTTGATTATCCTACAAAGTCAATAAATTACACATTCAAGAATAAGAAAGCTTAGATAACTAAATGATGGGAGATTCCTTCTTTTAGAACTAGCCAGACAGTATTTATAGCCTGACTTGGTGAAGTGGAAACGGGGATGATCTATATCTGCTATATATATTCTTGAAAGTTTGGGAAATTACGTCTGATCTCTGAATATAGGAAGGAATAAGATGACCAGTGTCTTGCTTTATTCCCTTTCCATCCTGCCCAACTTTCTGGGGGAAGTTGATAAGTCACTTTAACATTTACTTAATGCTACTTCCCTTTACATTCCTGTGGCCTGAAAGACAGTGGCTTATCGATGTTCACCTTCATTTAGCATGGACTCATTGTCGCTTTGCCTAGCTGTTTTGGAGACATCTGAGGGATTTTTGTTTAACTGGATATTCTCTTTCAAAGTGAAAATGATCCCAGTGAAATTGTCAATAATGTGGGCTGGTCTGTTTCACGTCTTGATAATCCATTTTAATTGTACCTGGGAACATTAAGATAATTAGATAAGAAAAATCTTCCCAAAGTAGTTCCTTTTGATGCTTTGACAGTGCATCTCAGAATTTCTGTCCTTGTTGCCAACTTTCAGGCTACTTAATGTTCTTCCTGACCTAGTTCTAGCATTGTCACCAACCCCCAAAGGCTACTGTCTTATTTCACCTGTGCTGTCTTTTCCCTTCTAGGGAATGGGGCTTGTAATTGCTCAGGCTTTGTCTGAATACAACAGGTAAGTTCACCTTTCCAAAATGGAAGGGGGTCTAATTTTCATTTGAATTGGTTGATAGAGTTTTATTAGAGTTCTTGGGTAAAACTGACTTCTTACCTAGTCTAAGAGTATTCAGAGGTACAGCAGGGATTCAGAGGGATTAGCAGGGATTGTTTTTAACAACAGGGGAAAAGTAGCCACTGCATTGGTGTCTCTTTAGTTTAGGCAATTAGGCACATTCCTTTGCAACTTCTGGTATTTTATTATAGAGCATTTTAACTAGTCTTCCAGCCACAAGTGGTCACTTACATTTAGTCCAGTGTATCATACATGTATTTTCTATGTTAAAAAGGTTGTGGAGACTGCTTTTTTGTTATCTTAAAAAAATATATAAAAGGAGAAAGTATATTAAGGTAGTCCTATTTTGCAGATGTTTATTTTTTGTCAACTTCCCAGAGTCCCTGTTTCTCTTGGGGGCTCCCATCATTGATGCTCACTTTCCCTTTTGCTGGAAGGATCTGACATTAGTGAATGGAAACCAGAAGTATCCCTAATCCTGGCAAGGGCCAGGCAGATCTTTCCATGTTCCTCTCTAGACTTTTCTCACAGACAGTTGGGTATCAGAACTTCAAATCTGTCTCATATCTGCAGAGTTTAGTTTATTGATTTCCTTTCTCCTCCTTTAAAAAGAAACAAAATTTTCAGTGTTCTAGCCTTAAAGTAGTTTTACTGTCACACTTTTCAAGTAATAGATTGTTGGAGATGTTGGAGAAATAACTGGATCAGCTATATGTTAGGGCAGTTGCACAGTTTTGCAGCTTTCTTTCTGTTTTTTTTTTCTTTGAGATGGAGTCTCACTCTTGTTACCCAGGCTGGAGTGCAGTGGTGTGATCTTGGCTCACTGCCTCCTCCGCTTCCCAGGTTCAAGTGATTTTTCTCTCTCAGCCTCCTGAGTACCTGGGACTACAGGCACGAGCCACCATGCCCAGCTAATTAAAAAAAAATTTTTTAGTAGATACGGGGTTTTACCATATTGGCCAGGCTGGTCTCAAACCCCTGACCTCATGATATGCCTGCCTCAGCCTCCCAAAGTGCTGGGATTACAAGCATAAACCATGGCACCCAGCTGCAGCTTTCTTTCTTTCTTTTTTTTTTTTGAGATGGAGTCTTGCTCTGTTGTCAGGCTGAAGTGCAGTGGCCCCATCTCGGCTCACTGCAACCTCCACCTCCTGAGTTCAAGCGATTCTCCTGCTTCAGCTTCCCGAGTAGCTGGGACTACATGTGCAGGCCACCACACCCAGATAGTTTTTGTGTTGTAGGTAGAGACAGGGTTTCACAGTGTTGGCCAGGATGGTCTCAATCTCTTGACCTCATGATCCTCCCACTTCGGCCTCCCAGAGTGCTGGGATTACAGGCATGAGTCACCGCACCTGACCTGCAGCTTGCTTTTTAAAGTCTCTCCCTAAGTAGCTAGGGATTTTGGTACATACTACCTCAAGAGCAGACAGGGTGTCTCTTAGCTTGCAGGGATTGTCACAATGCTTGATTGTCACAATGCTTTAGTTTTCTGGAGTCAGAGAATTCTAAGAGTGCTCCATTCTGATTACCCAAAATGCCAAGGACAAAGTCATACTTGATAAATAATCCTAAAGTTGAATTTAGTTCTTTTTGTTTAGGCAGTATAAAGACAAGGAAGAAGAACACCAAAGTGGTTTTTTCTCTGCTTTAACAAATATGGTAAGTCCTGCTTTTTCTTTTCTTCTGCTCATTAACAATGTGGTCTGCAGGGGTGGACAAATCAGGGCTCCGAAGTTCAGATATTTGAAGTGATGGCATGATGACAAGAGAGGCTGTTCAGAGCAGATTTTCTTGGGGAGTGTATTTTCCTTTAGTGAGTTTCTTTCTTTCTTTTTTTTTTTTTTTAATTCCCACTTTTGATGTGCCTTTAGTGAGCTTCAAAACCAAGTGAGATAGGGGAAAGGAGAGCTTCAATTTCTCTGGGACTTAGTTTTTCCACATTAATTATTTAATTAATTTTTTAAAGGCTAAAGAAAAGGTACACATTAAACCAGACTTTTGCTTCCTGAAGAGTTGGCCCCATTTGGGCACTGACCCTGTAGAACACCGAAGAGTAGGGTTTGGATCTGAGTTCTCCCCTGAGTGCTCCTTTGTTGTCTGCTGTGGCTGGTTAGATCCTCATAGCTGGTCCTGGGGTTTAGCGATTGTGAAGTAGATCTGAGGCACTCTTCTAGCAGCTTAGGGTTTAGGCTTAGAGGTCTGAATTTTAGGGAAGTTATTGGTCCAGTTTCCAAGACTCCAGGGCAAGGTTTCTCACCCTTGGATTTTGGTACCAGGTAATCTGGGACTGATTTTGAAGAGATAAATCTAGGAGATTCTAGAATCTAGGCAGATTCAGAAAGTCTGTCTTCTGGGCATTCGTATCTAAATAATCAGTTCTAGGGTAAGAGTTTTTTAGTTCATTGCAAGAAGCAGTTGCCTCCTCTCTTCCTCCACTTCTGCAGTTTTTTTCCCCCAATGCTTAGAATTGTTCCTTCTGCCTTCTCAGCCTATTCTTAGGAAGGGGCCTGATAAACTCTTAACTCCAGAATGTAAATGAGTGAAGTCTCTCAGGGACTACAAGAATATGAGTTTTATGTTGGTATTTGATTAAATGAATTAGATACAGTTTTACTGCTCCCAGTTATCTCTGCCTTTCAGTCAAGTTTTCAGAAAGTTTTGTTCCAAACACATGAAACTCTAGCAGCATAGGTTTGTGTATAGTTTCATGCATAATTAAGGAAGTGGGAAAGGTATTTTTATGGGGGATTAGGCATCTTAGTGCCTCTGACATCATATGCATTAGAGGCAGCCTACTCTGTTTACTTATTCACTTGCTCTGACTAGGACACAAACTAAAGATTTTGTTGTCTGAAAAATGGAGAGTGGATCTCATATAGAGAGCTTTGGTCTGAAACCCAAATATTGTTCCCAAAGATAGCTCTATGTTGGTTGAAGTCAGCTTGGTTTCTGTGAAGTTTTTCCTAAGTTAGTTTCTGACTTCAAATAAGCAAGTTCTAGGAAAGATACAGAGTGATGAGGATGTGTAGGTTGACTGTCAGAGTGACTAAACTTACACATTGAAAAGGAGAGTTGGACAAAAGTACTAGGCTTTTGCTTTAAGACCCTTTAAGGCAAGATGATTCAGTAGGATTCTCATTATTTCATTTATTACTTATGAGTCTTTTAAGATTTTCAAAGTGGGCTGGTTTTGGTGTGTGTGACTTATGGTCCAGAGTTCCAAGTTCCCCCCAGCTGGAAGCAGCTTTTTTTTTTTTCTTTCACTGATAAAAAACAAAGCTGCTCTCCCAGCCTCCTGCTATAAGTCTGCAATTCCCCTTTTCTTCCACAGGTGGGCAGCATGTTCATAGCAGATGCCCATGAGAAAATCTCAGTACAGTAAGTGCCTGACATTCTTCTGCAGTGACTTGGACTTTTGTGTGGGCTGTCCTGCTGGATATGAGTGTGCAGTGTTACCTGTTTGTTAATCTTTTACAGACTCATACTTTTTTGGTGATTTTCAAATGTCTCATGGGTTTTGAACAATAATGGACCCTTAGAAATTTCTGCTGAACAACTGTTCCCAGCCTATCTCGGCAATGAAACAAAAGAGGAATGGGTGTCTGAGCCAGTTGACTTAGCTGGGTTGAGGTGGAAAAGCAGAGGGAAGGTAATGAAGTAGATGAGAACTAGTCCTAAGGAATTAAAGTTAAGGCCCTGACTCCTGCCGATACACTTTGCATATGCCCAAAAGGTGAGTAAAGGGGAACTTTAGAAATGCAAAGAGATTGATAATCAGGTACTGGGGTATAATCTTATCCTGATAGTTATACTGTTTTAACTCCCCCACTATAAGAGCCACTCCAATTTGTTCTCTTTTTCTTTAGAACCAATGAGGCCATTCTTCTGGCACTTTATGAAGCTGTTCATTTAAATCGCAACTTCATCACAGTATTAGCTCAGGTTGGTTACATTAAAAATTCCAGTGTTTTTTTTCTCCTTGAATTTCATACCGATTCATTCCATTGAAAAGCTAATCTGGCTGTACTTGTTTAAACCGTGTTTTGCATTGGTAAGTGGTAGTAACAAGGAGTTGCATCAGTTGCCTTTGTTTCCTGCTATCCTCAAATACAGATGTTTCTATCTGGTACTGAAATGGGTCTAATAATGTGCAAAGTTAGTGGTTTTGGCCAGTTTACTGATTATGTTAACCCAAATGAGTTGTGATTACTTCATTTTGCTCACTAGAAATCCCTGGTATTATCTGCTATGTGGATTTTTATATTGGGCTTTCTGCTTTCCAAACCACTGTGGAATTACAACCGGAGATAAAATAGGCCAAGTCACTCATCTTATTATCTCACCAATTTCCAGAAGAAAAACTAAAAGATATGCTGGCCAGGATAAGGTTAGCTGTTAACAGATAACATGGTCTACATACATTGAAAGGAAGTCATAGAATACTGAGCACTGGGAGGGCACTGTAGTTTACGCCTGTAATCCCAGCACTTTGGGAGGCCAAGGCAGGCGGATCACCTGAGGTAAGGAGTTTGAGACCAGCCTGACCAACATAGCAAAACCCTGTCTCTACTAAAAATACAAAAATTAACTGGGGGTGGTGGCAGGCATCTGTATTCCCAGCTACTTGGGAGGCTGAGGCATGAGAATCACTTGAACCTTGAAGGTGAAGGTTGCGGTAAGCCAAGATTGCACCATCGTACTCCAGCCTGGGTGATAGAGCCAGACTCTGTCAAAAAAAAAAAAAAAAAAGAATACTGAGCACTGGGTCACATGCCTGAGGGACAGCCTCAGTAATTGATGTAGAGGGAGTCTAAGTAGACTGAGAACTCAAGAGCTGTAACCATCTTAAAAAATGGAAGTGTTTTTATCTTAAATCCAGACTGTTTAAAATATATATGTAGTGTTCTTTTAAGGGAAAGTTTGCTTATGCTTTTTCTCAAAGGGCAGATGTATATGGAATCTGTTGATCTGAATTTTAACAAAAAAAAAATAAGGTCATGCTTAAAAAGCATTGTGCTGGTTTGAGATCTGCTTCAGAGAACACTTATCAATTTTCATGACTGATAACATGGAGACTTCAGTTATTACTTTCACTCTGTTCCTTACCTGATCTCCAAATCTTATAATTGATTTTGAAGGAAGAGGTGAGGAAGGTAAAGGGCCAGTAAAGTTGTTGGAAAAGTTAAAAACAGCGATCACTAGGCTTAATTCTCAAAAGCTGATGTGGCAGGAATGGCTAAGAAAAGTTAGGGACAGAAGAGTCATCTGTTTTGGTCGCTACTGGGTGTCTCACTATATCTTGCCTCCCAATGAAGGCACACACACTTGCTGGTTGTGGAACAGGAAGGCCGCCATATGAATAGGTCTTTTTGTAGTACCTGGTATCCCTTTGACTCATCTATATCTGCTAGTCAATTATGTGGTTATCAGAACAGGCTATTGATGTGATTTAGGTTGATCTGATGAGATCCTACGTCCGAATGGGATTGCAAATATTCTCTGCTCTCTTGTAGAATAATCCTGTATATTTGTTTGCCCCAGTTTTTTTTTTTTTCAATTTCTATGGTGCCACAGAAAAACTTACATAATGGGAACCTAGTTCTTAAGATAAATTAGCACACACAGCTTCTTATTAGAAGTTAGCAAGCATCAACAGTAATCAAGTACTCATGAGAAATAAATGCAGAAGTAGTCCTTCTTCAGTGACTTTTCTAATTATGAGACTAGGAGCACAGTAGCTTGGTGGTCCCACCCACTCAGGGTACTTAGCAGGAGAGCACTTGAACCTAGGACTTTGAGACCAGCTTGGACAACACAGCAAGATGCTGTCTCAAAAAAAAAAAAAAAAAAAAAAAAAAAAGAAAATTTATAAGGCCCGGAATATCAGTCCTTACCAGTATTAGGCACTTGATACTCTGGGAAAACTGGATTTTCTGTTTTCTTACACATCTGTGTTCTTTTTCAGAGCCATCCAGAAATGGGCTTGGTGACGGCCCCTGTCAGTCCTGCTCCTACAACCCCAGCCACACCACTTGGGACTACACCACCCTCCTCTGATGGTGAGCTCACCACCACTTTGCTTTTCTTGATAAATATGATCGTAGATCTCTCAGAGTGAGCATAGCTGTGTTGAACAAAGAATGTGGTTGTTAATTCTTTCCACTACATTTGTCTGTAGTACTATCCTTCAGGCCTCCTAAAGTTTCAAAGAAAACTTCAGAAAAGACAGTCCAGTGATTTTCTCTGCAAAAGAAACTTAGATAACTCCAGCTTTTCCTGCTCAGGGAATAGTTACAGAGTTGTGGAGTGCTAGACCTGAAAGGTCAGTAATGTCTGTCCTGCCACTCTGTTAGGGTCCTTGTGAGACTAAGATGAGATATTTTGTGAAAAATGCCACCTTGTGATTATAAAGCACTGAAATGAATATAAAATAGTAATATTATCTCATGTTACCATTTGATCAGTGGGGGAATTGAGGCCAGAGAAATGAAGCAGTTTACTTAAGATTAGTGAGAGTAGAGACTGAGAATCTAAACACGTAAGCAGAGCAGAATAATGTCTGTTTTGTTTACTACTATATGCCCAGCATAGTGCCTGGCATGATAATTGCTTAATAAATATTTGTTGAATAAATGAATGAGAATGTGAACCTAGGATTCACTCACTGTTAATGTGTCTGTCAGCCACTTGCAGTTGGAAATGACAGACTTTGAGTGTATTATCATTGGGAGTTTAGTGGGTATGTAAGATTTCTCTCCCTCAAAACAACAATAATGAAAATTTCCCCTTCCTAAATCTTGTGGCTGGAACCTAAGAAAAAGGCAACAGAAAAGAAATTATGAATTTTTGCCAAAAACTTTGAGTTCTATTATAGGCTCAGTGTGTTTGGTGGAATATTGTAATCTAAAAACAATCTATGTTAATATTTGATGTTGTAGTTCAAAGGTTGACCTCATTTTGGGTAAAGAAGTACAGAAAATCTGGCTGGGCGCGGTGGCTCACGCCTGTAATTTCAGCACTTTGGGAGGCTGAGGCGGGTGGATCACGAGGTCAAGAGATCGAGACCATCCTGGTCAACATGGTGAAACTCCGTCTCTACTAAAAATACAAAAAATTAGCTGGGCATGGTGGTGCGCGCCTGTAATCCCAGCTACTCAGGAGGCTGAGGCAGGAGAATTGCCTGAACCCAGGAAGCGGAGGTTGCGGTGAGCCGAGATGGCGCCATTGCACTCCAGCCTGGGTAACAAGAGCGAAACTCTGTCTCAAAAAAAAAAAAGTAGTACAGAAAATCTAACTTTGATCTTTTCTTTTTGCCTCCCCACTATTTGTTTGTGAAATGACTTTATTTATCCTTTCTCTTCTTTAAGTTTTCATATAACACCTGTGGTAATAACATTTCAAGGCAGCATAAGCAGTGCAGAACTGTGACAGGGAGGTGCTGTTGTTAGTCATATGTATGGTAGCAAATTGGATCTGTTTAGAATTGAAAGCCAAAACCCAAAATACCTTTTTTTTCTTTCTTTAAGACAACATCTCGCTCTGTCATTTAGGCTAGAGTGCAGTGGTCTGATCTCAGCTCACTGCAACCTCTGCCTCCCAGGTTCAAGTGATTCTCAGGCCTCAGCCTCCTGAGTAGCTGCAATTACAGGCATGTACCGCCACGCCCGGCTAATTTTTGTATTTTTAGTAGAAATGGGATTTCACCACGTTGGCCAGGCTGGTCTCAAACTCCTGACCTCAGGTGGTCCGCCTGCCTTGGGCTCCCAAAATGCTGGGATTACAGGTATGAGCCACCATGCTCAGCCCCAAAATATCTTACTGAGGAGCAAGTAGTAAGACTTGCCTACTTGTCTCTGTTTATTCAGGCCACAGAATAACCCAATGGAAATACTATACTTTCTCTTTAAGGATGAAGCCTGCCCGGTTACCATGGATATTAAAAGCCATATATATATATGTATGAGTTCCATGTGATGTTGGGGTTTGGATGCTTCAGAGAACTGCCTTTCAAACTGTTCATTGTGAACACTTCCACCCACACATTTGATTATGCAATGGCAGGATTTGTGCTTACTTACCTACAACCAGTGAGCTTTTATTTTTTCTAGTGGGAAGATCAAGTCAGCCCACTTTCAAATGACTGTCTCCCTTGACAAAAGCTGCTGGGAAGAATTATGAAGCCAAAGATCAAGGAATGACTCTTGCTTAGGAAGAAGATTTTAATTTGTGAGGGATTTTATTCTGTCTCTGTTCTATTTGTTCTATTCCTTGTCTCCTAACTCATTTCCTTCTGTAGGGGTCCTAAGTATTACAACCTTGTTCTTAATTTTTGCAGCTTAATTATAGTGGTATTCAGTAGCCCAGTTATATTTAAAGGTATGTCACCAGAGCCATTATTTTTAAAAGCCAGCAGTTTAGCTATAAAATTTGTTCTCAGCTCAGACTTGACATTTGACAACTCAGCCTTGGCATGAGAGGACTTTCTGGTAAACTAAAAATATATATACTTCTATATTTCTACATATTATATAAGATAGTTTTCCAGTTATTGCTGTGTATGAGCAGGAAAAAAGCCCCACCTACCAGTTAGGTACCTCCTTGTATTGGACAAAGGGATAATTATAGGTTCTGAGCTTCAAAACAGGCTGTGGTTTGAAATGACAGTCTTAGGTCATTAACCCATAACATGAATTAAAACCTTTTAGTATTTCAACATAAAATATATTTGTCTTATATTAGCTTTTGGAGGCCTAACTGGGAAGATAGCCAGTGGTTTGGCATGCCGATTTCTCTTTATAAGGCTTTTTGTTGTGCTTGCTGTTTATTATGGGTTCATAATATCCAAATGTTTCCCACTGTTAATAAACGTTCTCTGCATATATTGTAATAACTCCAGAGGGATATGTTATGTTTATGAATACATATTATGAGTAATATCCCAAACTCAACTGAGTCTTCATGGCTGAAAATGTAGCAGAACGCTATAGATTCTCTAGCTTTTCTGGGCCATTATAAGATTCCTTTTACTTATATATTATGTCTTAGGCAGTATAAAACCACTTAACAAGAGGTCTGAGTCTAATTTAAAGTCTTAGAATTTTGGGAAGTCTACATTAAGATTGTTTTCTGAACCAGGCATGGTGGCTCATGCCTATAATCCTAACACTTAGGGAGGCCAAGGCAGGTGAATTGCTTGAGTTCAGGAGTTCAAGACCAGCCTGGCCAACATGGTGAAACCCCATCTCTACTAAAATAAAAAAATTAGCTGGGTGTGGTGGAAGGTGCCTATAATCCCAGCTCCTTAGGAGGCTGAGGCAGGAGAATTGCTTGAACCCAGGAGGCTGATGCTGCAGTGAGATTGTGCCACTGCACTCCAGCCTGGGTGACAGCGTGAGACTCAGTCTCAAAAAAAAAAAAAAGAGTGAGACTCAGTCTCAAAAAAAAAAGACTGTTCCGTATGGGTCAGCCCTGGTCATTAGAGATCAATTATCCCTCATTGTTCATTGGGACTGTGGCTGAGAGAATTGGGTAGAGGATTTCTCTTGGAAACAGCAGCTGAGTATATAAAACTCAGTTCCCAGGCTGTTCCAGTAAGTAATGTTCATCTGTTTTCACGTATTTATTTATTTATTTGAGACAGAGTCTTGCAGTATCACCCAGGCTGGAGTGCAGTGGCGCCATCTGGGCTTATTGCAACCTCTGCCTCCCAGGTTCAGTTCAAGCAATTCTCCTGCGTCAGCCTCCCTAGTAGCTGGAGTTACAGGCACCCACCACCATGCCCAGCTAGTTTTTGTATTTTTAGTAGAGATAGGGTTTCACCATGCTGGCCAGGATGGCCTTGAACTCCTGATCTCAGGTGATCTTCCCACTTTGGCTTCCCAAAGTGCTGGGATATCAGGCATCAGCCATTGTGCCCAGCTTGTTTTGAGTCTACTGTTCCTTTTCAGTTTCCTTTCGGGGGGAAGGGAATTCTACCATTTAATAGTGGTAGAATTTGAATATAGTTCTGCCTTAATATTTTCCCCTTTCTATCATGGGTATGTCCAGCCTAAAGATTTATTATCAAAATTCAGCAAGATTTCTCCTTATTAGGAAGGAATCTTCACTGAATTTAAGTAGGAGACCCATCAAAGTAAAACTCATTTATATTCAATACAGATCTTTCCTTTAGGTAGAAATCAAAGTGCCTTTAAGAAGGGCTTTAAACTCTTTGCAGGTACTTGGGGCAGAATGTGGAATCCACATAACCTTCCAAGGATGTTGGGAGAAAAAGCTCTGTTCTTGGAGACTGGCCCTAGATAGGAGAGCAGGTCATTGGGCTTAATTTGGGGAATAGAAAGGGGGGCTCTACAGGCTTAGGAAGAGTAGATAAAAGTTTTAAGATGAGCACTTGGTCCTCCCTCTGTTGTGGAAAAAGCTTATTTAGTGATTTTCTTGCCTGCTGGCAAATTGGCTATGTGGGTAGAAGTGTTAGATGGAATATGTTGCAGGCTAAGTGTATTTTATCTGTTCTATTCCAGTTATAAGTGCTGTAGAACTCCCACTGGATGCAGATGTACAGACCAGTAATCTACTGATAACCTTTTTAAAGTATAGCTCAATTGTCATGCAGGACACCAAAGGTAAGCCATGCTATTTTGGGATCTCAGGAGTAGGAGGTGTGGCAGGCAGCTAGCATCAAAGAGCAGCATTAATATTTTGAAGCTTTGAAAAGATGAACAGTTGGGGCCTTGTGTACATGGTCTTCAATGCTGGAAAACAATGATGTCTCACTGCTAGGTGGCAATTAGGTGGTGTTGGGAAAACCTGAAGCGGGAGGGGAGGACTCAAAAATAGAACAGGAAAAAATTGGTCTCTATGAAAACTAGCAAATCTTCTTAGCAGATCTTGGTAAGTAGATGCAGACTCTTATGTGTGGGAAGTGGAGGGATTAGCACACTTCAGGGAATTCCCTTTTGAGGACAGGAACTGAAAGCATCAACTCATGGTGAGAATTAGAGGACTGTCGTACAGAGTACCGTAGGAAGAGGTGAGATTCAGAGGGACTGTGTTCTTTAACACTTAAAATAGAAGTGTCAGTACCTATCCTAGAAATGGAAGAATGGAAGTGGGAGAGGACTGAGTGTTGGAAAAGTTTGAGGTTTTGTTGTGTGATTTCCTGTTTTTCCTCTGTTTATGGTTTTGCTGTGGCCTTTTACTTGATGGTAGAGTAGTGGAGTAGTTGTCCTAGGAGTGAGAATGGTTGGGAGGATTTTATCCAGTATGTATCTTAGTTTTGTTTTTTTTCCTTACTTAGCATTTTTTCTTTATACAGGATTTATGTCAGTATTCACAATTTTTATGTGTTTGTTTTTATTGTGATAAAGTATATACAACAAAATTTACCATCTTAACCATATTTCAATGTACTATTTAGTTGCATTATATACTTACATATTTTTGTACAACCATTATCACTGGCTGGGTGCAGTGGCTCATGCCTGTAATCCCAGCCCTTTGGAAGGCTGAGGCGGGAGGATCACTTGAACCAGGAGTTGAAGACCAGCGTGGCCAACACGGTGAAACCCCGTCTCTACTAAAAATACAAAAATTAGCTGGGCGTGGTGGCACATGTCTATAATCCCAGCTACTCAAGAGGCTGAGAAAGGAGAATTGGTTGAACTCAGGAGGTGGAGGGTGCAGAGAGCTGAGATCACACCACTGCACTCCAGCCCGCATGACAGAGCGAGACTTCATCTCAAAACAAACAAAACCACCATCCTCACCATCCATCTCTAGAACTTTTTCTTTTTCTTTTTTTTTGGAGGCTGGGTCTTACTCTGTCACCCAGGCTGAAGTGCGGTGGTGTCATCTCACCTCACTGCAGCTTCTACTTCATTGGCTCGGGTGATTCTCACACCTCAGCCCCCCGAGTAGCTGAGACTACAGATGTGCACCACAGTACCTGGATAATTTTCTTTGTGTGTGTGTATTTTTTGTATATGTGGGGTTTCACCATATTGCCCAGGCTGGTCTTGAAACCCTGGGCTCAAGTGATCTGCCTGCCTTGGCCTCCCAAAGTCCTGGGATTACAGGTATGAGCCACTGCATCTGGCCTCAGAACTTTTTTATCTTACAAAATGGAAACTCTGTACCAATTAAACACTATCACCCCATTCTCCCCTTGCCCCAAGGCCTGGCAGCCACCATTCTACTTTATGCTTCTGTAAATCTGACTTCTCTAGGAACCTGATTTAAGTGGAATATGTCCCAGTTTTAGGAATCCCTGGGACATTTCATGGTGACACTGAGCTAGCATTTTTTCCTCCATTTTTTGTAATGAAAAAATTCTAGTATACAGAAGTTGAAAAAAATCATTAACTGATTTACTTATGTATCCATTAACATTTTGCCATACTTGGTTTGTACTTAAATTTCTTTCTGTGTTTTGTTGTTGTTATCTTGACTGAATCATTTTATTTATTTATTTTTTGAGATGGAGTCTTGCTCTGTCACCTAGGGTGGAGTGCAATGGCATAGTCTAGGCTCACTGCAACCTCTGCCTCCCAGGTTCAGGCAATTCTTACTTTCTGTGAGGAGAAATTAATGCCTTGTAGGTAGTTTAAGGTTCCCTTAGGTATTAAGTATACTTTAGAAGGCTTTTATTTGCCAAGTGAGGCAGGTAAGTTTCTGGTTGGAGAGTTTTCTCGAGTTTTAGAATGGAGCTGAAGGGCAAGGACTGCATAGAAAGAGAAGACCAGGATTTGGAGGCTTTTAGAGTGTGGAGGAAACACTGGTAGACAGAGATAGGAGAGCTAAAAGATAAGTATGGGAAATGAAGAATTGCCAGAGCAGAAAGGAGCCTTGGTGGGCAGAGTCTAAGATATGTTACACTCAGACATGTTGTATTAGCTCTTGGAGATTTCTGCCTTGCAAACTTAGACTCTTTTCTTCTTTTATATCTTGTTAAATATTCTTTTTCAAGGGAGAGAGAGAGCTATATTCAGGGATAAGATAGATGTAAGTAGTCCATGTCACTAACTCTTAATATAAAACAGTCTTTTGGGAGCTGCAGAGAAAGCTGAACCGCTGAGACTTGGCAAGTGAGATCTGGCAGGCAGGGATAATAAGACTCTTGTGTATCAGAGTTTCTTGAGGCCATTGCTTCTTTATGGAAATGGTAACTTCTTCCTGTATCTGGAAATATTGCAGCAACCACAGAATAGAGAAACTACATGGATGTGACCTAGAAAATGAACTTTAAGCTTTGTCTGGTATAACACAGTGAACTGAGGCCCTTGGAACCCATTTTTAGCTTTAATGATTATATAAGCCTCTGTCCTGGTCACTTGCCATCCATAAAGTGGAAGGCAAAATTAAAGGCTGATGAATTGCAGAATGAGTGTTCTTTGCCAAGAGGCAGCCTAAATATGGCAAAGGGCAAGGTTAGGAATGAAGAGTTAATTTCAAAAATGACTCCTATGTGGCTTTATTGGCCCAGCTCTCTTCCTGCCTCAGCCCCTGACTTGCTACATGCCTTGGCTAACAGCATCTCATTATACTTTTAGGAGCAATAGAAGCAACTTTTTCTTGGCTGTGCTTTCTCCCCTCCAGTATATTATCTTTCTCTTTTTTATTATATGTTTATCATTTTAAACCTAAAAATATACTTTTAATAGATATGTGTAAGATATAAAGTTTATAACTAATAAATAGCATAAGTTATAAAGTACAATAATAAAATGAACATATGTGAACCTACCACCCAACTTAAAACAACATTAATGCTGTTGAAGCTACCTGTGCATCCCTTCCCTAATCGCTTCTTCCCTTTCCATTCTCCAGAATTTTGTATTTATCATTTTCTTGGTTTTGTTTGTTTGTTTGAGACGGAGTCTCGCTCTGTCACCCGGGCTAGAGTACAGTGGCGCGATCTTGGCTCACTGCAACTTCTGCCTCCCAGATTGAAGCACTTCTCCTGCCTCAGCCTCCTGAGTAGCTAGGATTACAGGCTTATGCCACCACGCCTGGCTGACTTTTTTATTTTTAGTAGAGACGGGATTTCACCATGTTGGCCAAGCTTTTTTGGAACTCCTGACCTCAGGTGATCCTCCCACCTTGGCCTCCCAAAGTGCTGGGATTACAAGTGTGAGCCACCAAGCCCGGCCCCTATTCCCTTGGGTTTTCCTCCACTTTTAAAGCCTTTTTCCCTTGGGGTTCTTCTGACTTCAGTGGTGTTACCTTAAAGAAGCTTCTGCTCAACCTTTACGATAGATATTAGGCAAAAAAATTTTTAAAAACCATGTATATCTTAAAGTTAACCGTGCATAGACTTAAAGTTGATTCACCAAAGTCTTAATATTTGGGTGATATAATTAAATTTGGTTTTTATTGTTTTGTGTGTTTCTGCTTTTTTTGCTGAGTTTAAAAGACTGTCTATAATATGGCTTTTGTATTCAAAAACAGTTTATTTTAATTTTAAAATTAAAAAAATTTAAGTGGAGAGATAGCTGCAGGCTTTTCTATGGGAGTTGCTTATCAGTTTTTGGGAGGATAGTGCCATAGAAACTCTGTGGCTAAGGGTAGGTAGAAGAATTGTGAATGTAGTTTTCCAGAGGCAAGAGCATTGCTCTTTGGCTATATTGGTGTTTTGATGAAGCTATAGGGAGTATCAGATAGGTATTATCATCATTGCTCTTTTTGCATTGCCTATCTCTGAGGAGAGGTGAATATATTCAGGTTAATGTCAGGGTAAGAAGTACTAGCTAACTTCTACAGCACTCTAATCCATTAAGAGGTCGTCTCTCCAGATTAGACTTCAGTTCGTGTCCTATTAAAGCTAATTTGAAAATCATGAGCCATTTGTCTGTTTTGGCTATACTATCATGATCCCCTTTTTACCTGCTTTTCACTCCTCAACCCACAGAGTTTCTGGAAAGTACGTAAGCTTGATGGGTCTGGTATTTGGCAGTAATAGATTAGCTTTTTATTGTCCTTTTGTGGGTGGGCTTAGTGGCCTGCTATTGAGGTTGCCTTCTTCTTTTATAATAACTAGAATGTGTGTTGTGAGAGACTAGGGGCCTTTGTCTGTTTTGTTCAGTGCTATATCTCTCATGCCTTGCAGAGTTCCTGCCACAAAGTGGGTGCTAAGTAAATATTTGTTGAGTAAGTAATTTTGACAGGAAAAAAAATGATCAAGAGTTCACAGCTTTCCAGGGCATAAGTGTACAGTTGCAAGGAGAAGCATGGGCTGGACCCTAGTCTCCAGTTAATTTATTTATGATTTCATTGCCAGTTTGCTATGAGCAGTCATGAAATCTTTCTAGATTTGGTGGTAGGTTGGTACATATACTGGTGCTTAATGCTGGCAGATGAAGGGGTGGAAAGGGGAATGGGCCTGACTATTCAAGTTCTATTGGCAAAGGGCTGATGTGACAGTGATGGCCGTGATTTGGGCCATGACAATAGGAACCATTATGAGTTAGATGGCTCTCAGGAAGGTGATTAGCTATTTAACAGACTACCAGGATATTTAAGAAAAAAGTCTTCTGGAGGAATTCTTTTGCCAAGGAGGGAAGCAAGAAATACTATAGTAGTACCTTGATTTTCATTTATGAATTTTGTAGAAAGAGAGATTGTAAATGTTTCCTTTTATGATATACATCCTCGTTCTCTATTAAACATGGTCTGGATGATTTACAGAGAAGGGTTTCTTTTTTCTTTACAGATGAACACAGGCTTCACAGTGGCAAACTCTGTCTGATTATCCTTACATGTATTGCAGAGGTAGGTCTCACCAGCCTTATGCTCTTAGTCAGTCTCTTAGAAAGTGCTACCTTTCCCTGCCTCCCCTCTCCTCATACCTGCCTCATGACTTTTAGGGTCCTAAAGTTTAGGAGAGAAAATCTTCCCCTTTTGTATTATCTGTCTCTTCCCACTGGAGTGTAGTTTTTGATGAAGCCACGGGTAGACAAGGTCTTGCTTGCTTCCATGCTGCCTGTGTAGCAGTTTAAAAAATAAAAATAAAAAAGGAGCTCAGGTTTCCTGTGGTGGGGTGAAGGGGTGGAGAGTAAAGCCAGAGAGGTGAATTGGAAACTCAGTAATTGCAGTTTGCTGAAGAGAAAGAGCTGAGAGGAAAAAAGAGGAGGTGCTTCAGCTTTTTAAAAGGCCACTTTTGGTTGGACTAATGGGGTTCAAACTCACCATATATCTTGGTGACACACAGGCATGGTAGAACTTGAGTGAATTTATAGTGTCAACCTCCCCCTTTACTATTCCTCACTCTGCTCTTTTTTTCCTCTTAAGAAAAATGGTAAAGGTAGTCCACATGAAATAGGGATCTCTCTAAGTCTCTCTCTTTTCATGTTCTCTGTGGAAAGATGACCTCCTTTTCACAAGATTAGGAGTGGCTGGTTATAGAAGAGCTGTCTATTAGCAGTGGGCCTGCTATAATTGCTTTTCAAAAATCTTTCTAAGAAAATCTTTAAAGGAGTTGTTTTTCACAAATCATAACAGTTCCTAGTAATTGGAGTCTGTAGGCTTGTCAGATTTTCAGAAAAGGTGCTGGGAAAGGGCCAAGGGATGCTTATTACTAATCCATGGTAAGAGGTTTTTGATTTTCCATCAGTTTTCAGGAAAGCCTGGGATAGACAAGAGTCTTACCTGCTTCCACACTGCCTGTGTAACTAACAGTTTGCTCCTGTTGGGCTGAGCCCATTCCCAGCAGAGCACAGATTTTTCTTCTTGCTCCTAAACCCTCATGTGGAGTCTGCACATGAATCCTGCAGCCCCTATGAAAACCTTTAAGCTATCACAAACAGAGCCAGCTCCTTGGGCAGATGGGACGGAAGAGGGAATAGGAAAGCAGAGTCCTCTCATTCCTCTCAGCATCTGCCTTAAGTCCCTGTGTCTTAATTTTTATTGTTTTTGCTTGGAAATTTTTGACCAGTTAGAGATGCAGTAGGAAATTATACTGGAGAAAAATCTCATGGCTTAAGTAGGGTTTGACATAAGACTCTAGGCTCATCCTATTAGCTGTCCAACTGATCCTTGAAAGTAGTTTTTAAAGTCCAAGGATTTGTATGAAGTGTGATAGATTATAAATGGTTTCTTAAATATAGTTCTCACTTCTTACTTTTTCTCTGTATTTTTGTTAGGATCAGTATGCCAATGCATTTTTGCATGATGACAACATGAATTTTCGAGTAAACTTACATAGAATGGTAGGTGTTTCTTCTGCTTCTTGTTTTTTTTTAGAGGAAATTTTTTGTGTGTCAGCAGGGTTGGGATGAAATTGATCCTACTAGTACAAATGTGGTTGGAAAGTTGTACCGAAGGGCTTTGCGTGATGGCTGTTCAATAGACCCATGCTTGTTGTTGAGATTTTTGTGTGTCATGGAGCTGTTTCTTATTTGAGAGTTTAGGAAGATTCACAAATGTGGCAATTATACTGAATTTCTTTATCTTTTCTTTTCTTTTTTTTTGAGTCAGAGTCTCTTTCTGTCTCCTAGGCTGGGGTGCAATGTTGTGATCTCTGCTTATGCAACCTGTGCCCCTTGGGCTTAAGCAATTTTCCTGCCTCAGCCTTCCGAGTAGCTGGGATTACAGGCGTATGCCACCATGCCCTGCTAATTTTTGTGTTTTCAATACGGATGGGGTTTCACCATGTTGGCCAGGCTAGTCCTGAACTCCTGGCCTCAGATGATCTGCCAACCTTGGCCTCCCAAAGTGTTGATATTACAGGTGTGAGCCACCGTGCCAGACCTGATATTGGATTTCAGTAACATAGGTTTCAGCAAGGAAATGGTTCTAAGCCTTTTGTTATCAAAATGTAGTCTAATTTTTGATTGGCTAAGGCTGGCTTCTGCTTTGATTTATTCATCTGGCATGTGGGCAAATAGAGTACGGAGGATCAGGGAATTTCCTAGAGCTTAGAGGTATGTTAAAAAACATCACATTGAGGTTTAGATTTAAAACTGACTTTGTTTTTTTTCAATTGCTACTGTTGCTGCTTCTATAGGTGGCACCATCACTTCCTCTTTTTTTTTTAATTATTTATTGTCAAAGAAAAATACCAGTCTACCTCTTTTGTTGTTAGTAATGCCACTTATATAACTAAAATCAAAGTAAAAACAACAGTTTTCCCATTGTAGTATTCCCTAGTGCCCTTTGAGGCTGTGTATTGTATTTTTTTAACAGGCCTGCACTGATAACTGAGAAGCATTCACAGGTCCTTTCTTCCTCACCTCACTCCATCCTACCCCATTCCAGTCCCACTATGAGAAAAAGAGAAAGCAAAGAAAGTATCCCTGTAGCAGTGATTTTATTTGCACAAGGAATATGATGATGGGCCATTGGATATCAGTAACAATGTCTACTAATTTCCTTTCTTCACTTTTTGTGTGTGAAGCCTATGAGACACAGGAAGAAGGCAGCAGACAAGAATCTTCCCTGCCGTCCTTTAGTTTGTGCAGTACTAGGTGAGTGAGTATATCAACATTTTTCTGTGACAGCAATAGGCTTTCATGATTAAGATGAAGAGTAGAACCTGGTTGATGTGCTTCTTCCTCAAAGAAATGATTAGTTATGTCTTTTCCCTGGCCTATGAAACCATGTTTATTGTTGTGTTTGGTAAAGCAACCCCAGTTATAGAGTGCTCAGTAAAGGGTCCTGTCATTCAAAGAAAAATACCATCCCAGGGAGACAAATGGCTGTGTCTAAACTTGATACATGATTTACGTTTGTAAGATATCTTACTCTTGATCAAGATTTCAGGCTGGGTGCAGTGGCTCATACCTGTAATTCTAGCACTTTAGGAGGCTGAGGTGGACGGATCACTTGAAGTCAGGAGTTTGAGACCAGCCTGGCCAACATGGTGAAAAACTGTCTGTACTGAAAATACAAATTTTAGCCGGTCGGGGTGGTGGGTGCCTGCAATCCCAGCTACTTGGGAGGCCGAGGCAGGAGAATTGCTGGAAACCGGGAGGCAGAAGTTTCAGTAAAGCTGAGGTCATGCCATCGCACTTCAGCCTGGGTGATGGAGCATGACTGTGTCTCAAAAAAAAAAAAAAAAAAAAAAAAAGATTTCAAATTCTTCTCATCCTTTCTTGGTTCAAATTGATGTGCCAGCTGGCCAGGAGGCTTTAAGTTCATGGTTCACATATATAAAACTTCCTTTGAGTAAATTAAACTGAGGTGAGGCTGACTGAATTGACAGGTAGGGGCCCTGTAACTTAGGTAATTTTGTCTGTCCAGAATTCTGCATTTTCCTCAGGGAATTAGCTTAACTCTTAATCCCATTCACTTGGATATTCAGCTCCAGTTTCTAAATCTACTTAATTTTAGAAACAGTAATTAAGACTATATAATAAGCCTCTGTTGACCCAAAGCCCCACAGCCCATTTCAGTCAATATCTGTCTAACTGAACATGATAGTAAGATGAAATTTACTGACATAGCTTTAGAGCTGAGTCTCTGGTTACACAAATGTGATCCATAATTTCTTCTCTGCTTGCCTCATTGTCTAGTCTCAGAATATGATTTCCCTTTGGTGGTTTACATTAATGTCTTGGGTTGAAATATCTATACAATGAAATGTTCGTTTTATCTGAGAATTTATTGGCAGGTCAGGGTATCCTTCTAGAGGTCAGCAAGTGAAATAATTTCTTTTTTTTTTTGAGACGGAGTTTCGCTCTTGTTACCCAGGAGTGCAATGGCATGATCTCGGCTCACCACAACCTCCGCCTCCTGGGTTCAGGCAATTCTCCTGCCTCAGCCTCCTGAGCAGCTGGGATTACAGACACGCACCACCATGCCCAGCTAATTTTTTGTATTTTTAGTAGAGACGGGGTTTCACCATTTTGATCAGGATGGTCTCGATCTCTTGACCTTGTGATCCACCTGCCTCAGCCTCCCAAAGTGCTGGGATTACAGGCGTGAGCCACTGTACCCGGCAAGTGAAATAATTTCTTATTACTTTACAGTTCTAGGTGGTGAACAGTGTTACACAAAGTGTGTTATATAAAATAAGTGTACATGAATAAAGATGTAGGTAGTGGATGCCATTCAGTATGAGTGCAAGGTATACTGAGAAGCTTTTTTTCCAACTCAAAGGCAAGGAAAGAATTCCACTGTAATTGATCCAGTTTTTCTCTTTTCTCCTTTCAGACCTGATGGTAGAGTTTATTGTAACACACATGATGAAGGAGTTTCCTATGGATCTCTATATGTAAGTGCCATGGTTCATTTAATGTGTACAAATCCATTTTAAAGAATTGAATGTTAGAAAATTCATGGTCTATGTATACTTCAAGAAAAATACATTTGCATGTGGAGAAGTGTTAGGAAACATTTTCTGGCCTGGATCTGTACATCTTCTCAGAAGAGGGAACAAGCACAAACCACAATTTGGATTCTGCACGTATCTTCATGATCACTTCTATGATCTCTTCATGGTCATTTGCATGAAGAAGGAGCTGATATATGAATATAGTGATTGTAGGAGGCTGTTGTAATCAAAGATGGGCGATACCAGTAGACCACTTAGTTGTTTCTAGGCTTTAGCATTACAGTACTAGTACTGAGTAGTTAGAAGGTAGGACAAATTTAGGGAAATAGAGCTTCTGGTTCGTTCTTGGCCTACATTGTCCTGACAGCCTAGCCAGACTCCTGTTAGCTGGGCAGATTATGTCTCCAGTGACCTGGCTGGGAGATTCTTGTCTCCTGAGGAAAGTTGATTCACCATCACAGTTCTTTTTTTTTTTTTGTGAGACAGAGTCTTACTTTGCCGTCTATGGTGGAATGAGTGCAGTGGTATAATCTGCACTCGCTGCAACCTCCACCTCCTGGGTTCAAGCAATTCTCCTGCCTCAGCCTCCTGAGTAGCTGGGGTTACAGGTGCCTGCCACCACATATGGCTAATTTTTGTATTTTTAATAGAGATGGGTTTTCACCATATTGGCGAGGCTGGTCTCAAACTTCTGACCTCAGGTCATCTGCCTGCCTCAGCCTCCCTAAGTGCTGGGATTACAGGCATAAGCCACTGCACCCAGCGACTATCACAATTCTTTACAATGAGTACAACCAGAGGCAACTCAGAATCATCATATTTTCTTTTTTCTTTGTGACAGGGTCTCACTGTGTTGCCCAGGCTGTTCTTCAACTCCTAGGCTCATGCAGTCCTCCCACCTCAGCCTCCCAAAGTAGCTGGGACTACAGGTGTGTGCTCTTACACGGGGCCATCATATATATATATTTTTTTCTTTGAGACGGTCTCACTCTGTCACCAGGTGCCAGGCTGTAGTGCAGTGGCGTGATCTCGGCTCACTGCAACCTCTGCCTCCCAGGTTCAAGCAATTCTCCTGCTTCAGCCTCTCGAGTAGCTGGGACTACAAGCGCACACCACCACACCCAGCTAATTTTTGTATTTTTAGTAGAGACGGGATTCACCATGTTGGGCAGGATGGTCTCGATCTCTTGACTTCGTGATCCACCTGCCTTGACCTCCTAAAGTGCTGGGATTACAGGCATGAGCCACCACGCCCGGCGGCCATGATATTTTAATAAAGTTTAAACCTTAAGATTTTCTTTTTCCTTTGCCACTTCTGCATTCTTCTCTTTAACACCCAAGAACAGCTGTGCCACTTAATGTGATCTCAAATATGTATGTTATCTTTAGTCCTTAAAAAATACCTGAATTGAGTGTGACATCAGACTTGCTACCCCATGTTTTTGGGCAAGAGAGCAATTTGGTAAACAGCAAACGGTGTATAAAATACTTCATTCCAGTGCCAGGCCTGGGATCTAGGGAAGTATAAAGGATTTCAATCTAAATAGAGCAGACCTCCAGCTTTTTGTTTTGTTTTGTTTTTTGTTTTTTGAGACGGAGTCTTGCTCTGTCATTCAGGCTGGAGTGCAATGACACAATCTGGGCTCACTGCAACCTCTGCCTCCTGGATTCAAGTGATTCTCCTGCCTCAGCTTTCCGAGTAGTTGGGACTATAGTTGTGTGCCATCAGTCTCGGCTGATTTTGTATTTTTTAGTAGAGACAGGGTTTCACCATGTTGGCCAGACTGGTCTAGAACTCCTGACCTTAGGTGATCTGCCTGCCTCAGCCTCCCAAAGTGCTGGGATTGCAGGAGTGAGCCACAGCACCCAAACTTTCAGCTTTTTAGGTTACTGTATCTCTTGATTTCCTAGGTTTGAAATAATGATATAGATTTTACTTTTAGGTAAGTAGGTTACAGTTTGCATTTTTCTGTACCTTTTGGGTGTTTAGAAGTAAGTCTTATCCTTTATTTCAATACAAAGACCATGAACAGCTACTTTTTATAACACTTAGTACATGAGTGTTCAACTTATTTTAGATGGGATCCCTGAACTTCATTATCTTAGGCTTCAGATTCTTCAGATTTGTTTTTGCTATAGACTTTATTTCTGGCTTATTTTATATCCTAGTTTTAGGATGTGCTATTTACTTTGTAACACATATTACTGTAGTTTCAGTTTTTTCATTTTACAAGAAAGGAAACTGAGGCTCAGGAGATTAAATACTTTGCCCAGGGATATTCTGTTAGTAAGCATCATTTCCTGGATTTCGACCCAAATTTTCCTACTCAAATTTTGAGCTATTTCCTTTCCAGGGGTATTAGTTATCTATTGCTGTGTAACAAACTACTCTGGATGTAGTGGTTTAAAACAAATGTTTATCATCTCACAGTTTCTGTGGCTCAGGAATCCAGGAGAAACTTAGCTGGATAGTTTTGGTATAGGGCCTTTCCAAAGGATGCTGTTGAAGGAATAAAGGTAATATACATACTTGGGAATCACATTAATGTGGCACGGCTGTTCCTGAATATTAAAGAGAAGAATGCAGAAGTGGCAAAGACAAAAAAACCCTTAAGGCTTAAACTTTATTAAGATAAGATGATGGCCTGGTGAATTGGGGCTGCAGGCATCTGAGGTTCTACTGGGGCTCAAGAAGTCTGCTTTCAATCCCACCTAATGGTTGTTGGTAAGCCTCTGTTCTTCACCACGTGGGTCTCTTTGTAGGGTTGGTAGGCATGGCAGCTGTCTTTCCCCAAAGCAATTAATCTAAGAAAGCGAAGGAGAGTGAGAGCCCAAGATGGAAGCTGTAGTGTCATTTATAACCTAATCTCAAGTAGCATATCATTTCTAATGGTCACACACAGCAATCCTGATGCAGTGTGGAAAGGGACTATATGAGTGTGTGAATACCAGTTTGGGGTCCATCTTGTAGGCTGGTACCACAGTTGCACAGCTAGTAAGTAACATAACTAAGGTTAAAATTCATGTCTCTCTGACTGCAGAGGCTGTTCTCTTAATCAAGTCTGTGATAAGTGACAGAGGAAAAATTTGTATAGAGTGACTATGCTGACCTGGAGCATTAGAGAAGATATCAGGGAAGGTTACATTTGACCTGAGTCATGAAGAATCGCTAGGCATTTTCTGTGTGGAGGAGTCAGGGAAAGACTAGCAGGTAGGGGACCAGCATGTTTAGGGGCTTGGAGGCTTGAAAGTGTGTTAAGTTTGGAGAATAGAGTGTAATTCCAGGTGGCTAGAGTGTAGAGTACATGGAGGGAGGATAAGAGAGTAGAAAAAAAGCTTACCTGAGATTAAGTAGATGATGAGGAACAGTTGGAGGTGAGGCTGATCTGTTAAGATTGTATGTTCAGTGCTGTAAAGTTACAGGTATATTATGTGTTCACCCAAACTCTCACGTTTCCAGCCAATGAACCTGGTCTACCCAAATGTTCTAACTCGTTGCCCTGGTTCAAAACTTCACCTTCAAAAGAGTTTTTGCCTAGCCTTGCTTTATTAGGTGCTTTTTCCACCTGCTCCTTAATTTACTGCCCTGGGGTTAGGAAAGATGGAGAAGATAATGAGGCATCAAGTTGACAGAGGCTGGGCAAAAGGTCCCATCCTCAGGCTGAATTTACTTTCTTCATTACTACCCATGAGCATGTTTTCAGATCTTTCTTTCCCCACTTCTAGCTCGTTTCCAGTTTTTAGAATTTGGAGCATCAAGTCGTTATCAGGTGAACTTCCTGCTTCCAGCTGGGCAGCAGGCCAGGTTGCTACTCTCACTTCTCATTATGTACTCCTTTTCTGCAGTGTACAGCAGAATGAGAAATTGAAAGCAAAATGAATTTCTGCCATTTCAGATAAGTTTATAATCTTCCTAGTGAAATATGAAGAAACAGAGTTTGGAAAGACTTAATATTCAAAGCCAGAATCTGGGTCAGAAATGAAACAATTTCACATCTGTGTGTGAATGCTGTAGGTAACATGGGGGAAGGCACATATACTAAAAAAGAAAAAAAAAAAAAGGAAGGAAGAAAGGTCTTGCCTGGAGCACTAAGAGGTAGGAAAACTGAACCAATTACTTTCACTTCCTGTTCTACTTCTTGATTCTTGCTTCCACTCTCATTGCCACCAAGGGATTGGGGAGTGAGGGGATGTAGTCCCTGAGGAGAGTAAACTTTCCTTTAAGCTGCTCCTCTTACATGGAAAACTTGGAGTCTTCTTAAATCAGATGTTTCCAAACCTGTGGGTAGGCATCAGAAGAAAGGTACAGACTTCAGTGGGTCCTACAAGAAGATGTCAGGAGAAAGTGGAACCCATTTTGTATTGAAATAGGAAACTGAAACATGCATGAAAGAATCCTCCCCACCCGAGAAGCACTAAATTTAGAGTCATTCTGCCAGTGCATACATACGTGTGTGTATGTATTTTTTTTTTTTTTGAGACAAGAGTCTCTAGCTGTCGCCCAGGCTGGAGTACAGTGGTGTAATCTCAGCTCACTGCAACCTTCACCTCCTGGGTTCAAGCAGTTCTCATGCCTCAGCCTCCTGAGTAGCTAGGGTTACAGGTGCCCATCACCATGCCTAGCTAATTTTTTGTGTTTTTACTAGAGACAGGGTTTCATCATGTTGGCCAGGCTGGTGAACTCCTGACCTCAAGTGATCCATCCACCTCGACCTCCCAAAGTGCTGGGATTACAGACGTGAGCTACCACACCTGGCCTATGTGTGTAATTTTTTTAGAGGCATCCACCTCGGCCTCCCAAAGTGCTGGGATTACAGGCGTGAGCTACCACACCTGGCCTATGTGTGTAATTTTTTTAGAGGCATCCGCCTTGGCCTCCCAAAGTGCTGGGATTATAGGTTTGAGCTACCACGCCTGGGCTGAGTGTGTAATTTTTTTAG